CTTAAGCATTTTTTCCTGAAAACACTACTGATGATAAAATTTTGAAAAACAAAATCTGTTTATGCTATGTGTAACAGCTATCTAAGACACTGGCAAAATGCCTAGAATCAATGGCCTTGAATGTTCTATGACTGTTTGAAACTCCCTTTCTCTTTGAGGAGGGAACTGAACTACAGACAAATTAACCCTAGAAAGCCTAATTTAGCCAGAATGGAACTTACAAATTGTATCCTGGATGTTGACCTGGATGGGACCTTGAGCCTTTAGGCGGGGAATATTCTCTACATCTGAGACTGGATTCAAGATTAATGGAACTGATTGATTACTTTAAGCATATGGACAACTTTAACTTGGAATACAATTTTTTGACAATTGGAACATAATGAAACAAAAAGGACAATTTTGGGAGGAAACTAAATCTACCCTTCAAGCAATCTTAGAAATAGTGAGATCCCACGCAAAATGAACACGCAAAATTATTCACGGCGCAGTTGAATAAGAATTATAGTCAACAGGAGACGGGAAATAATGAACAAGGGAATGAGAGGGCGGTGGATGGTGAATGCCAACCTAAAGAAAGGCTGGAGGAAATTTATGGGGAAAACCTAGTGGAGTTGAGGAGAGTCTTAAGGGAAGATAAGAGGAGAAAATCAGCAGAATCAATCAAAAATACCCTGGAAGACTTATTGGAGATAGACCAAGTGTATAAAGATCTATTGGAGGTAAATCAAATGCATAAAGTGGCCTCAGAGGGCGCAAAAGATGGCAGAATGTTTAGAAAGGCAGAAACAAAAATTGAAAAAAAGATTAAGAGAAGGAATTACATAGAAAGATGAAAAACGGAAAAACAGGAAGGTGGCCCTCAATGTTGGCAAGCATGTATGTACCTAACTTCCGGAATTGCAAAGGGGCATATCTTACATATTAAAAAAGAGAATTAAACTGAAATAAGGGAGCACTAATCAGGGCAAAGGCATAATATGGCAGTAGTGTTTTTTTAAGGTAAAATGAAGCTAAATATAAGGTTGGACTAAACAAATAGTACATAACAAACATGCAGTAGATATGATATTGTTATAGACAGGATAGAAAAATGTGGAGATAGAAATGGCTAAACAACTATACAAAGAAAATCTGTATAAGATGCTCTAGATAATATCTATTACGTGTTAAGAGCTTACTCACTTATCATTGGTATAAATTACAAAGTTTGTCGGTTAAATCACCTCCAATTATATAGATTTGGAACTGGAATGATTTTTATTAAGTATGTTATTAGAGGATTTTGAAAACATTGTATACTATGAAAGTAATATTAGGATAATAGCCAATATTGTATACTAAAATACTGTACATACATGAACGGTTTGAATGATCCAAAGATGTGTGGAATTTGGGGGGGGGGACAATTGGGAAGACACCAAGACACACACACAAAAAAAATAATTGTAAGCAACCCATGAAACACGATGTTTGATAAGCATGAACCGAATGTAGATAGATTGAAAAACCAATAAAATGTATTTTCTAAAAAATAAATAAATTGTAAATTGCCCTGAGAGTGCTTTAAGTGCTGTGGGGCAGTAAATAAGCAGCACACTTTGCTTTATATTCACCACAACACTGTACGGTACTTTAGGCTGAGAGATCATGGTTGAGCCAAGGTCCCCTGATGGGTTTCATGGCTGAGAGGTGAACTCAACCTGTCTTTCTGAGTCCAACACCTTGACCCATGGGTGGCCAAGTCCTGAGGGTTCAGGAACTCATTTTCCACCCGAGATCTGTGACAGCTGCAGAACATCCCCAAATTAAAACCAGAAGTTGCTAGAAACCCATTTCTGAGTTGATTAAATTCTTTTTAGGTTTTGGGGTGGTGAAAGCGATGGGCACAGTGTTTTAAAGGAGAATTGTTGATATGGCTTTTCATGTTCAGCTTTTTTCCCATGGGAAAATTGGCAGGGGCCATATATGGCCCACCCCTGCTATAACCACTGCTAATGTAACTATTGACTTTTCAGCTTTTTTTTTCTGCACAGAAAAATAGGCAGAGACCTACTTATGGCCCAGCCCTGCTCTAACAACTGCATCATATTAAAACCTAGGAAAGCTGAACAGTAGTAAAGAAAAAAGCAATGAGAGGGAAACAGAAAAGACAGAGGAGAAAATGTACGTGTGGCAGAATTTGCTGTTGTTATGTATCATAAAGTTGCTTTGACCCAGTGAATTAAATGACTCCATGGCCCTTCCATTCACTAAAAGTCCTGTGCCAGACTTGCATATACCAGGCTGTGACTTCCTTTATTGAGGCATCCATCCACTTTAGGACTTCTTTTTCTTCAGCTTTCCTCATGTTTTCCCCCCAGTGAGTCTTGCCTTCTCATTGCAGCGGTTTCCAGTGAAATTGGTCTTTTTTTTAGTATGTATGACAAAAAGAAAAACTACAGAGTTGTGGGTCCTTGAAGATTAACTCATTTATTTTGGGGAAGTGGATTGTGATCCACAAGCTTTCCCACTGAAAAGAATCTGCTGGTCTTGAATGGCCGCAACTCTTTCATTTTTTCTACTCTACTTGTCTTAGCTGGATAGCTCTGTGAGTTGGGCAGTGGTTCTTAACCTTGGGTTACTCAGGTGTTTTTGAACTGCAACTCCCAGAAACCCCAGCCAGCACAACTGGTGGTGAAGGCTTCTGGGAGTTGCAGTCCAAAAACACCCAAGGTTAAGAACCACTGGGATAGTGGAGCCAGGGGTCAAGAATTTGGTTCCCTACTGTGCTTTCCACAGAGAAGAGCAAACCTGTGTAATCGTGGGCAAGCTGCAGAGTCCCAGGTTTTCTACAGAATGGGCTGGTAAACCACTCATGAGTATATTAGACCTAGGAAACCCAGATGAAGGTCACAGTAAGTCAGAAATAACTTGACAGCACATAATTATCAGAGCCATTATGGTGTAGGGGCAGAATGATGGACTAAGACTCAGGAGACCTGAGTTCGAATTCTTGCTTGAAAGTCAATGGTGAATGGTATTGGCATACTTTGAAAACCCTGTGAGGGTCACCATAAGTCAACTGTGACTTGGCAACACATAATACCACACCTTGAGTCTCCAGACGTTCTTGGAAAATAACTCACAGAAATCCTGGCTAGCACAAGAACGTCTGGAGACTCAAGGTGTGGAGCCATTGTTCTAGTGGGAGTTCAGGTTTGCTCTAGAACCCATTATTTGTCTCCATGTTGGTCCATGGTATCCATGAAACTTTCCTCCACTATCACATTTTAAATGTATGTTTTGTTTTCTGTCAGTTTTCTTCATCAACTAGCTTTCATAGCTGTATATAGTAATTGAGGATATCATAGTATAGATGAACTTGGCCTTATCTTCAGCAACATATCCTTACACTTGAGGATCATTTCTAGTTAGTTTCATAGCTGTCTTGACAAGTCTCAGTTTTCTTCTGGTTCCTTGGCTGGAGTTTCTATTCAGATGGATGATTGAATCAATGTAGAGAAAATCTTTAAGAACATTGATTTCTCAATTGTTAAAGGGCAGAATTAATTTAGATTGATGTGTATTACCTTAGTGGAAGCTTTTGCCTCTACTTTGCAAGTGGTTTTACTTTCTCTAATGTGGTTTCCCTTTCTCCTACCATATGTTTAGCAAAATAATTAGCTCTAAATTAATTTGTCTCAACATGTAATGTTTTCTGTTTTGTTCTGATTGTTTTCCTTGTATTACTATTCAATATTTATATGTACTAATATAGGTTCTGACTCAATAATTGCTCTTTTCAGCTCATCTTTGCAAAAACACACACACACACACAAACACAACACCAGGCCCCGTATGGCAAAAGCATTATTATTCTTTTGCCGATCTTTTACTGTTGAAACTTGCCGGTGCTGTTCTTGCGTGACCTGCTTTGTTTTAATTGCGCAAACTTCATTTATGTTTGTTGGGCGTATCTTGACATTAAAACCTGAGCATTGTTGGGTTGAACTCCTTGGTCAGCCCAGGGCAATACACTTCTGCACAAAGTTCAAGTAAAACTCTAGTTAATTATTATAGGTTGCACTCAGTTTTGTCACGTGTTTTGCAGACCTTGGACATTTTTCTTTTTTAGATAACAACTCCCAGAATCCTCTGGTTAACATGGTTACTGGCAGTGCCGGCTTGGAGATTCTGGGAGGTGTAGTTGGGAGGGAAAGAATATATATAAAGTTTTAAATAAGATTTTTTTCCCCCTGATAAAAAAAGGTTTTAATGCTTTTGGTTTCAGTTTTGCTTTTGTTTTATTCTTGTCCTTGTTGTTGCTGAAACAAACTAGGCTTCTTCGCTAAAACTTTGTTTTCTTCAAAAGCTTTGTTCCATGTCAAATGGCTGCCTCCGGTACGGACTGTTGATGTCAGTCATGATGTCAGTCCATCTGAAGGGCCTCCTCCATCACTATCACGTTATTTTGCTATAGTGGCAGGAATTCAGTTTCCATGTATCTGTAGCTTTACACACCTTCATGCACACACCTGCTTGGGATATCTGTAAAGTCAATATTTGTTTTGAGCAAGGAAACAGTCCACAAAGGCAAACAGAATTTCGCTACACAATATGGTCTAGAATTGTTTGTTTCCATAGAAATTTGAAGGTATCTGTGGGAATTCTGAGCACATAGGTAGAGTGAAGTTATTTAGGTGGGAGATGCTGATGACCACAAAACACTGCAAATCTACAAAAAAATTAGCACAATAATTTGGTATTATTATTTTTTTCAGCCAGCTGTAGGAAGAGGTAGTTGGGGGAATTTTTTTGCCTCATGTGCTTTCNNTTATGTTTATATTTTTTTTTCTCTCTCTCTCTCTCTCTCTCTCTCTCTCTCTCTCTCTCTCTCTGTGTGTGTGTGTGTGTGTGTGTGTGTGTGTGTGTGTGTGCGCGCGCGCGCCCAGCCTTGCCTGAAGGAAGTCCTGACTTAAAATAATAATCCTTGACTGTACATATTTATTTGCAGCTCTTACCAAAGGAGTGAAGAGGTCTGACTTGATGTTATCCATTAAGCCAAAATTACCTCCCAAAGATGCAAAGAGGGTTCACCGATTCCCACGCTTCCTTCCTGTCCGTCTAAGCAGTACTACTGCAACAACACATTCATCAGCACGTCCTGTGGAATCCAGTGCTGTGAAGGCCAGTAAACTCACCTCTGCTGAAGGTGATGCAGCTGACCCTCTCCGGATAATTAAGTTTAATCCTACTGTAGGAAGTATACGAATTGCAGAGCATATGGACATCACATTTAATTGCTCCATCAATGTTCCCAAATCATTGATCAATCAAGATTCTGCAAGTATTTCCTTATGGAAGAATGGGAAAGATCTTATTGATGCCGACAGGCTAGCCAGCCAGTATTATCAATTTGATGACAGTGAAGACATCGCTATGATATCTACTTTCAGGTAATTAAGAAAGATAAGCCAGAATCCTGTTACATAGGCCAGCATAAGTCAGATGTCATAAATCACGATGCGAAACTGCCACTACTTCAGAAGTTAACACTTGTATTCCTCATGGTATATATAGTCGTAGGATTGGTGTGCAACCAGGAGTCTAAGTATGGAAGAGTTCACTGCTGCAGTTTACACTATTTGACTTCACACCAGTGTACCAAAAGTAACATGGTTCTGGCTATTGAGTGAAGGGATTGTGTCCAATTGTGTCCTTTGACAGCTTGGAAATAACTAGTTACTAAGAACTAGTTACTAAGAACTAGTTACTTGTAACTAGTTCATTGTACAGTGGTGCCTCGCATAACGAGCACACCGTTTAATGACGAATCCACATAGCGATCTATTTTTTGAGATCGCGAATGCGAATGGGCAAAACATCGCATTGTGATGATCGGTAAGCGTTTCGCTTACCGATCTTCGCATTGCGATGTTTCTAAAACAGCTGATCGGCGGTTCCAAAATGGCCGCCGGGTGCCCAAAATGGCCGCCGCAACCATTTTCGCGCAATTTCCTCGCTTACTGAGGCGGCAAAAATGGCGGCGCTATGGAGGATCTTCGCATAACGCTGAGTTTTCGCCCCATAGGAACGCATTAAACGAAGTTTAATGCGTTTCTATGGGGTTTTCCCGCCCGCATTGCGATGTTTCCGGATAGCGACAATTAATCCAGAACGGATTAACGTCGCTATGCGGGGCACCACTGTAGTTAGGTTTTAATATTGTGTTACGTGTAGTTATATCTCTTTTTCCAATTAAAATGGTATCACTGCATTTAGAGTGCCACATAACAGCTGAAATCCTGTAGTAAGTCATAACCAGAGTAAGCATATTGAATCAGTGGGGATTTTGTGAGTAAACACTTTCATAATTTCTGTTTCAATGGGCCTTGTCTGGTTTTGGCTTACTACTGAATTTCAGCCATTGACTGATCACATCACTTCTTTTACAGTATAATTAGAACTTCTTAGTTACATCTCTGTTTATATGGGCTCACTAAATGGAGGAAAGGGAATATCATATGGTCCAAGTATTTGGTTTTATATTGTATCATGGAAGCTAGATGGGGGAAGCCTCTGTTTTGCACCAGAGGCCAGTGGCTTAAAGCATTTCCATTCTTTTTAAAGTAATAACAAAAAGGGATATATTTTAATTACTTTTAAGAAGTGGAGAGAATTGTAATAATTATCACAGCTAGGATTAAAAAATAGTTCTTGAATGTGTAGCCTGCATAATTAAATTTTAAACCACCCAGAGAGTGCTTTAAGTGCTATGGAGCAGTACATAAGCAGCACATGTTTACTAAGAGCATGAGTGATTCTGCATTTTAAGCTATGTTAAATTGTGTATGACTGTCATGATAAACTCACGAGATTAAACACACTCATTTGGGAGTAAGTACTGTTTTACTGTAGAAAAGGACAGTGGCGGGAAGATTATTTACATGCACATAAATAGTTAAATAGTACATGGGTGCGCTCCAGAAAATGCTAGGTTGTTCCCAGGACATTCTTCCATGTGGACTCACAAGCTCCTTTCATGCCACATTTATTTTTAATCAGCCTTAAAATATAGCAAAATTGTTTTAGCATGTACGGGAAGTTCTGATTTCTTGCCCAAATCCACAGAGTAAATCATGGTTTTATACACCCTCCCCCCACCCTCTATCTTTCCTTTTCCCCCTGCAGTATAGTCAACATCCAGCGCTCCGATAATGGGTCCTACAGATGCAAGGTGAAAGTCAGCAACAATGAAATAGTATCAGACCCTATCCTGGTTTTGCTGGAAGGTAGGCTTTGAAGTGAATGTGTTACTTGATGGAAAGAGACTGTTGTTGAATATTTGGTCTGGAGAGTTTTTCATAGTAGGCTGAAATTGCTGACTTTAGTCCCATTTTTGGAAATGAAAGGTACCAATAGATTTAGTCAATCAATCAATCACTGCTTCTCAACAGCTGGAGGGGAGAAATGGCTTAAACATGGAATGAACTTTAGAAATTCTTCATGGGAGAAGTAAACAGAGAGCTAGCTGGAGTGTTTGTCAGATGTTTGGTGTATATTGGACTGGTTTTAAAGGAGGGATTGAATTGGAGAAAAATCATCAAAAAGATTAATCTAAAAGAAAAAGATAAATACATTTATTATCCATTGCCCCCCAAATGATTGGATAGCTATCCCTGTTGCAGGTGTAGGATAGTGCCATTAACTTTAGAATCATAGAATAATGAAGTTGGAAAGGGCCTATATGAACATTGAGTTCAACCCCCTGCTCAACACAGGAATCCTAATCAAAGCAGATCTGACAGATGATTGCCCAATTTTCTCTTGACTGCCCCCAGTGTTGGAGAGCTCACCACCTCCTGAGGTAATTGGTTCCATTGTCATACTGCTCCAACAGTTAAGATGTTTTTCCTGATATTTAGCCCAAATCTGGCTTCCTGTAACTTGATTCCATTACTTTGTGTTTTGGAAACTTTGTTTCGTAACTTTATTTCCTAAAGTCTCACATTCTCACATTCACTGTACTGTGTTAGTCAGTACAGTGGTACCTTGACTTATGAACGTCTCCACTTGCAGACGTTTCGAGTTACAAACATCTCCGGTCACAAAACGTTGCTTTGACTTGCGAATGGAGCCTTGATTTATGAATGAAAAAAAAAACACCTTTCCTGCCTTTTTTTAAAAACCTAAGTTCATCTTAGGTCAAAAGAAGAACAAATTCAAAAAATCTCCCCCTAGTGGTAAAGTACGGATTAACCGGCTTTGCATTAGTTCCTATGGGAACTAATGCTTCTACTTACAAACAGCGCCTTGAATATGAACGAAAAACAGCCTGAACGGATTAAATGGTTTTCAGTGCATTCCTATGGGAAATCTTGCTTCAACTTATGAACTTTTTGATGTACGAATGCCGTTCCAATACGAATTAAGTTTGTAAGTCGAGGTACCAGTGTAGTCTCCAACCTTGAGTCCTTAGAAGTTCTTGGACTATAGAAATCCTGGCCAGCACAGGCAATAGTGACGCCTTCTGGGAGGTTTAAGTACAAGAACATCTGGGCACCCAAAGTTGGGAGCTACTGACCCAGATGGATGGGAGCTCACAGGTGCAGCCACACTTTCTAGACAGCAGAGATGCTTCTGAAATGTGTTTTAGCATGTACTAGAAGTACATGCTAAAACCACATAAGTGAGCTGTAGTTCAGGCTGCCTCAAGGAATCCATGTGCATTTTTAGTTCGGTTTCTTAGATGAGAAGCAGGTAGTCTGGTGCCCTCAAGATGTCTTGGACAATTATAGCATATCCAACATAGTTCCTGGGGATTGTGAGCATTTTAGTCTGAGATATCTGTGAAATGCTGGGCTGGGAGAGCCCTTCCATTTTTCTTACCACTTAGGACCCCCTAAGCGCGCTTTCACCTCCGTTCCACACAGGGCTTCCATACTTCATTAAACAACCCCAGGGGCTGAACGTTACTCGGAACACACCCTTCAACCTCACCTGCCACGCAGTGGGGCCTCCTGAGCCCGTGGAGATTCGCTGGCATTGGAACAGCCGCCAGGTTTCTAAGGAGGAAAGGTCTCCATCTGTCTTGATGATGCCAGGTGAGTTCAGTGGCCTCCAATTCCAGAACGAGGGCATTTTAATGCCCATAAATGGTCCTGTTCGGCACTGAAACGGAAGTCTGTAATAGTTGTCTGGGTACTCTTGCTAAATGTTTAAGGAAGGATCAAAGAATCAAATTCAGAATCAACTGGCATGCTAGATAGGCCCATTTTACAGGAAGAGGAACTGATGCTGTGATAGTTTTATTTCGTTTGGTGGAACCTACTTTGTTGTTATTTCTGGATGTTAGCTGTGTTAGTCAGTAGGCAGAGGTTTTTATGGGCATCTGATGAATTTGATGGAGGGGCAGCAGTCGGCAAATGCTCATGCCAAATAAAATAAGTTAATAATTACAGTGCCCTGAGATTTGTTGCCATTATAGCTACAGTCCTAATTGTTGCTCTGTTGTTGTCTGCTGCGGCAGTGGAAAACCTAGTTTGTGTTTCTCTTGCCCAACCCATAGTTCCTTGCTTGTGGTTCTAGACAAACACCACTGGAGGATAATCTGTGGGACCTGTGGTATTTTTTAATTGCTTGAGAGAACTACACAATATCCTTCTTCTGAGGAATTGTTTCCATGGTTGTTTGTTGTCCTCCACAGTGGCTTTTCTGGTTGCTGCTTTTGTTCTGTGCTGTGTTTTTTACACACACATATACACGTACACACACTTTTGTGAAAACAGTTTGGGTATTAAAGAATGTGGCAGGCATTTCCTCATATCTTTTTCTATGGCTTAACTATGTTCTTAGTAAAATTATCTGCAAGATTATCTGCAAGGCATGTGAGAGGAGAGGAGACTATGAATTCTAATTACCTCAGTTAAGATGGTCATGTTTGTTCAGAGATTTCTTTCCTCTTGATCTGAAATATTCAGTTACTGATAGCTTTAAATTTGGTATGTTTTTTTCATGAAATGTGGTGCTGGTTTTGTTAAGGTGTTCAGCTCAGTTCACCTCACTGGTTCCCTCAAAGACAGCTTTAGCTGTCTCATTGTCTCTTTGCTGTTGTTGTTTTTTTAAGGCACAAAGATTACTAACAGAATGACATAAAATATGGAAAATTCCTGCCAGAATTTCTTTAAAAGGCCCACTTTCAAGTGATTCAGATAAGCAGGACTTTTAGGATTGCATTATTAATTGAATTCAGGGTTTAAAATGTTTTCCAAGTGTTTTTACTGGTGGTTTTCAATATGTGTTTAATGTTTTTTACTATTATATTTTATGATTTTTAATGGTCATTGTTGGGTTAATTTTAATTGATTGTGAGCTGTCTTGAGTGCCCTATGGGGAGAGAAGTAGCATGAGAAAAGCAACATTAAAATAAAATAAAATATTTTTTCTTTAAATTTAAGTTTTAAAGGTAACTTGAAAATATAACTCATTACACTAATAAAGCAACTCATTCTAGATTAGATTCCCTTTGTGAAGGGCTGCCACATGTCTAGATGAGACCACAAGAACCAAAGAAAGACAGACAGACAGAGAATACGAAAGAAAAGAAAGACAGACAGACAGACAGACAGAGAATACAATCAGTAAAGGTGCACAGCTGATTGCACTGGAAGGGGTCATTTTAATAGCAGCAATCCCTTCTGCCTGTGGAGAATCACTCCGTCTGCCTGCCCACCTCCCAAAAGTAGTAGCCCTACAGCTGGGCCAAAAAGGACCAGCTTGGGCATGGATCAGGGTCAGGCCGGAGAAAGACAGACAGACAGACAGACAGAGAATACAATCAGTAAAGGTGCACAGCTGATTGCACTGGAAGGGGTCATTTTAATAGCAGCAATCCCTTCTGCCTGTGGAGAATCACTCCGTCTGCCTGCCCACCTCCCAAAAGTAGTAGCCCTACAGCTGGGCCAAAAAGGACCAGCTTGGGCATGGATCAGGGTCAGGCCGGAGTACATTTCCATGTGTGTTGTGCCATCACCAGAAGACAATTGACCACTGCAGAAGTGGTCCAAATTGTGATCTCTTTCCCCATGTGATCACATCGTTCCTCATCATTAAGGGGAGGATTTCTATGACATTTCACATTTTCTATGCAACCTACATTTGAACCCCAAAGCAAGTTCAAAAGCAAGTTCAGAGCACAGGTTGCTGTCCTGTGAAGATGCCGGCCACAGAGACTGGCGAGACGTTAGGAAGAACAACCTTCAGAACACGGCCAAAGAGCCCAAAAAACCCAGAACAACCATAAGTTCAAATATGTTTATGAGTAATCTTTCTCATCAGATTATTCATAAACTTGTTCAAACCCACCCATAAGATCAGATATAGGTTGCAGAAAAAACATGACATGTCATAGAAATCCTTCCCCTCCCCCACTTATAACGACGACATGATCTTCACATGTGATCTTGGGGCATATCACAAAAATCAACCAGCAACAAGTATGAGTTTTAAAAACAAACATACAATCAGGAAACCTGTCCTCAAGTGCCTGGTGGAAAAAAACAAACCTACAGCCCACTTAAGTTCTTAACTTCTGGAGAATGAGTAGGAAACTTGGTACCCTCCAGATGTTTTGGACCATGACTCCCTTAAGTCTTTCCCAAACATAGCAAATTATCAGGGATTGAAAGTGCTTCATGCTGCTCAGCATCTACTTCCTGGGGTATCTTCCTCACTATCTCAGGGTAGGGCCGGTCTTGTCCAGCTGTGCTTTCATTCTTCACATGTTTAGAATGAGAGGTGGCTCTTTTGGACCTGCCACAGCTCAGGTGGTCTAAAGTAGCCTTTCCTGACCTTGCAGCTTTCAGATAGGTCGGACTACAGTTCCCATAATCCCAGCCATCAATGCTGTGTTGGTTACAGATGATGGGAGTTGTGATCGGGCACATCTGGAGAGCACCAGGTCAAGGGAAACAACAGAATTGGCATGGGTCGTCTTGAATGATGCGTCTGCAGTGCATAGCAATTGGCTTGTTAAATTTTTCCATTCCATTCTTGTGTATAGTGCTTGGCCGGTGCTGCAATCTAAGGCACAGGCAGGTTTTAAAATAGTTCTGTTAAAGAGTTCAGTCACATTTTTGGCAAAGGAAAACACATTTTAAAATACAAAACCTTAAGGGGCCAACCTTTCTCATGCATTGCCTCCCTTGTGGTCAGAGGAGTCCCTTGCTTGGAAATATGTTTATTCAAATTGCAACACAACACTTGAGAGTTTATTTTGTTGTGAGTTTTTTGTGTCTCTTTTCAAAAATAAAACAAACTTGGGAGGAAAGTATAGCTTAAATGGATTTTCTTAGTGCCAGAAGCACGTTCCCCACAATGCTGTTCCTGTTCTCAGTTTGTGTTGTCTGTTTTGATCGGCAGGTCTTAACGAAACTGCTATTTTCCACTGTGAAGCGCACAATGAAAAGGGAGTAGCTACATCAACTGAAGCCAGAATCAATATTAAAGGTTGGTGATAAGCATGAAATGACTTTTATTATTCCAATTAAACTCTTATTAGTAAAGCTTGTTCGGAGAGTCTAAGAGATGCAATCCAAACAATTTTTTTCAAACAATGGTACAGATTCAGGAAACCCCAGGCTACAGTTCTTGACAGGTATAAGCAGACCTCATTGCTTCCAATAGTTATAATGGAAAGTTGAAGACAAAGTTATGACAAGGGGGTCGAAGCATACATAGCCCACCACTGGATACCATTCAGCACACATATGGCTGCTGAATTATAATATTTACCAGAAACAGCGTGAAGTCTGAAAATGCATAAATTCAGATCCACTTTATTGGATCTATACCTCTCCCCATTGCCAAACCCCCAACTCTCCTCAGCAGCCTTCAACGCAGTGAACAGAAAACCCGTGACACAGAATGAGTGGGTGCTGAGTCCAGGCTCTTACACTGAGGTTGACCAAACATACAGTGGTGCCCCGCTTGATGACGATAATCCGTTCCAGCGAAATCGCTGTAGAACGAAATCGTTGTCAAGCGAAAGTAAAAAGCCCATTGAAATGCATTGAAAACCACTCAGTGCATTCCAATGGGAGAAATACCTCATTATAAAGCAAAGATCCTCCATAGAGCGCCCATTTTCCATTGCCTGTAAAGTGAGGAAACACAGCGGGGAGCCATTTTGAAAACCTGACAATCAGCTGTTTTGATAGTCGTAAAGCTAAAAATCGCTTCCGAAGCAGGGAACCGATCGTCGTCAAGCGGATTTTCCCCATGTAAACACCATTTTGCGATCACAATAGCGATTGCAAAATACTCATCGTACAGCAGATTCGTCGTACAACAAGGTAATCATCAAGCGGCGCACCACTGTACTTGAGATGCTGAACCCGAGAGCTCCCAGCTGAATCTTCAGACTCCAGTTCTTTATCCTCTTTCCATGGGAAACCATGAAGAGGGAGAGCTACTACTCTGCTCCCCGTGTGCTCTCCAGGGTCCTCAAAGATCTGCTTGTAGCCACCCTAATTTCTTATGAGACCTGATCAAATGAAATCCACCTGGAGTCTAATTCTGTCTTAGGTGGACCTGGTTTGACCCCTCTCCACATTTTCCAGAAATTTTCAAAAGGCAAGAAAACAGATGGAAAGGCTCATAAGAAATATTAGGCTGAATTTGAACTTGGGAAGCAAGTGGCTTGCCAGGTGCTCCTGGAATTGTAGCGGCCATCATTCTCCATCCTGGCCGACGTGTTGGAAAGCTTGGTAAGTGAATCAATAGTAAACTTGGACACTAACTTGCTGTATGTTCTCTAGTGAAATAGGGCTGCAGGGAAAGAAAAGGCAAGGATCAGCATGTTTGCGGGAATCCAAAATGTTGCAGAAGCAGAGAAAATGTCCATGGTGGCAACCTCCCATTGGGAGGAGTCCATTAAGGACTGAGAATGCTCAGTGGCCACAAAATGTGGAGCATCTGTATCAGGTGGAGGCATGGTTATCTGGCTGAGATAACCGAAAAGGAGCACTCAGTTCTGCACCATTTTGCAGAACTGAGTGCTCTTTTCATAGCCATATCCAGGCTTCAGTTTATAGTCCAGTAATATATTTTCAGATGTGATTGCATTGGAAGAGTTGGTCAAGGCCTCTGTATGTCAAATGAGCCAATTCAGACATCCCCCCAGTGTAATATTTAATTGCTTCTAGACTAATTAGGACAGGGGTGCATCCTCCTATTCCCTTGTCTCGAGCGACCATGATAACATGCTCTGTACGGAGGACTTGGAAAGTGTCCTCTCCAGAGCACAAAGCCTGGGTAAAGTAACCTTTGGTATGATACTGACAGCTGGTCCCTACCTCCGCACTATTAGGGAGCAGGCCAGGTAGGTGGGGCTCATTAGCCTTGGAAGGCAGCCAATCTAGGAGAAGGAAAACTCCGATATCAAACCTCCACTGCCTTGTGGCTATATCCACTGATGGAAAAGGCTTCAGGAGTTAACCTCGAGGCAAAATCCAGAGCCGGAGTCCCGGAGGCAGTTCGTGTCATTCTGTCAACTCCTGCAATGTTGCTGGAACAAGTTGTATTGGCTCTTGCCTTTCCATTGGACTATTTCAGCAACGTGGAGAGGGGGGATTTGCCGCTTGGGTAACAGCCTATTCCTGGGGATTTGCTGCTTGGGTAACAGTCTATTTCCTTGTATTAACATGACATATTATTCATTTGTGTTCTGCTTATCTTTTTATTCCACCTTTCTTTCTGTTACTCAAGGTAGGGTTTTTTAGTTCTCCCCCTTTTCATCCTGACAGAACCAACCCTGTGAGGAAAGATAGTGAGTGGCTTGCTGAAGATCATCCAAGGAGCTTCGTAACCAAATAGAGGCTGATTCTGAAGCTCCCCAACATTCAGGAGACAGTTCCTTTCTCTAATGAAAGAGCCTCTGTCAGAGTTTTGAAAAGTTACCGTTTTTGGATGACAGCTTCTAGAATCCCCCAGCCAGTGTGACCCTGCAGTCCTCCCATCTCAATGATTCTGAAATTTGTCATCCAAAAAGGATTTTCCCCCAAGTTCTGGTCTTTTTTTAAGATTAACAGATATAGTCTGTTAAGGAACTCTACATACTTCATATTTAAAAGGGGAAAAATCTTTTGCTCTCTGTGGATTTCTTTAGGTTATGTTTTGGGATGAAAAAGAACAAGGTTTACTTCTAAATAAGGCAAATTGTTATTTTGGGTCTTAAGCAGAGGTCATGCGTAGGTTCCTCTTTGCTTACATGCATTGCTATTTCCTCCATCAAATATTTCATATTTTTGCCATTTCTGAAACAGTCCACACTAATGGTTTTTTCATTATTTCTTCTCATCTCACTTATTTTTTCTGCAAAAGAGCTGCCTTCCTGCACCGATACTATTTGAAGGCATAGAATAGCATTTCAGTTGTACAAATCTTCTGCATTTCTATGCAGCACTAAGTCCCACCAGGTTCAGTGGGAATTACCCAGTCCTGCTGAACTCAGCAGGCCTTGTTTCTGAGCAAGTATTTAGAGGATTATGCTGTAAATTTGCTGAAAATCATTTGCCTGTTAAAGTCTCAGTGCAAAGCCAATAAAAGTTTTTCCCCTTGTTTACATTTACCCAATAAGCCATCATTTGTTTGTTATTTATTTAAAATGTTTTTGCCCTGTCCTTCTTTTTAAAAAAGACCCAAGGCAGCTTATATCAGTCTTTAAAAGGCAATATTAAATCTATCAACAGTGAATATACAAATACTAAAAAAGATCAAACAGATACCATGCTACAAAACATAAGTACACCAAAACACATTCAAACCAATAAGGGACCATGATCCATTTAAAATTATTTATTTATTTAATATCCCATCTATCTGATCAGTTAAGACCACTCTAGGCATACTACAAAACATAAGCACACCAAAACACATTCAAACCAATAAGGAACCATAATCCATTTAAAACCCCATTCAGGCAGACCAATCACTAAGGAAAAACCTACCTGAAGAGGAAGATCTTTTGTCTGTTTGTGGAACGACAGCAAAGATGGAGCCAAGCTAGCTTCCTCTGGGACAGAGTTCCAAAGTCTGAGAGCCTTATCTTGCAGTAGGGGTTTTTTTAATGTTTATTTTTTTAGTAGACTTGCAGGATTTCCTTTGTCTTTTATATGAACCCAGATTCCCCCACTCCCAAATGGAGCTAGGTATAAAATGGTGGCTCCAAGACAGACTGAAGAATTAAGGAACAAGAATGCCTCCCAGGACATGCTCAGCTGAGAAATTTCTTTTTAGTACTGGGCTCACAGTCCCGTCACACGCAACCCTACAGGTGGTTCTTGTCACCCCCAGCTTTCTTACATTTCAGAAGGCTGAGTGTGACCAGCACGGGTGGGTAGAAAAATTTGGTTGTTGCCACTGTTAAATAACTGAGAATGAGAGGAAACCATCCAGAGACATATTAACAACATGTCAGTCTGTCTTCTTCTATCCACCCTTGTTCTGGCCTCCTTGGGGGAAGAAAAGGCATTTATAAACAAAACTGGTAAGACCCATTCATTAATATATAATAGTAACACTGGAGTTGGATTGGCCTAGAGAGTCATTCCCAACCTTGGGGCCCCAGATGTACTTGGACTACAACTCCCAGAAATCCAGATGACTGCTTCTGGGAGTTTTAGGCCAAGAACATCTGGGGACCCCAGTTTGGGAACAACTGGCCTAGAATAATGATAGAACAATGTTCCATCATTGCCCTCTCTGAATCCCTCATGCAGAAGAGGTCTTAAGGCTGCAGTTCTATATCAATTTATTTATTTATAAAGTTATGCTGCCTTGACCTTAGAAAAGTAGGAAATAAATTCACAGTTGTGTGTTTATCTTTTTAGTCAGCAATCCTAAACACGATGATCATCATATTTTGTAAAGTAAATTCTGATTTATGGTGACCTTTTTCAAGGATTTCCAGGTAGACAATACTAAGAACTGGTTTTACCATTCCCTTCTTCTGTGAGTATCCTGGATCTGTACAGCTTGCCCAACGCCACACAGGTTGGCTCTTTTCCTAGGAGCCACAGTAGGGAATTGAACTCTGAATCTCTAGCTCCACAGCCCGATACCCAAACCACTGAGCTATCCAGTCAGGTGCACACTTACTAGCAAAGAAATCCACTGAACCCAGTGAAAAATCTGATGAAACAAACGTAAGATTGCACAGTTAAGCATGCTTCACTGCAGAATCCATGGCTCAAGTCCTGTTGCTTAATGTAGCAAGTTCCAAACCAGATTAGAGCTATTTAGTAAATCAACTCTTCTGTAAGTTCAGTTGATTCTACTCTAGTATTGAGGTACTACACTAAGCAACAGGATTCCAGCCATTTGGTAAAATTCCCCAGTACGTTGGTTATTCTATGTTTTTGTTTTCTTTTTGGCAAGCTAATATTTTGGCAATATTTATCTTGTTTCTGTTCTCCTGTTACATAATTATTTCTCCTCCTCTTCCACATAAAACTTGTTATTTCTAACAAAGTATCAGTGTGTCTAAATTAACTTACATTGGCGTACATCTGACCGGGAGAATCAGGTAATGATTCCTCAAAATCTTCCTGTTTCTCACGCAGAGCTCCCATCCCCACCTGTCGAAGTGCATGTCCTGAATAGCACAGCTCATGCAATCGTGGTGTCTTGGGTCCCAGGCTTAGATGGCTATTCACCTTTGAGCAGCTGCCGTGTTCAGGTAAGCCATGAATGGGGTGGTGGGTCAGGAGCTAATGCCGATGGTTATGGTTATTAACATTTGTGCTGTTTGGCAAATGAGAAACGGTGCTTCACTTGGATGAACGGATACAAATCATAATTTTTTCTGCCACTTGTAATCTTTCCTCTAAACTCAAGATACGGGGAACACGTGGCCCTCAGATTCTGGAGTATTGTTCCTCACCAACTCTAGCCAGCATAATGAATGATGGAGAATGGTGGGAGTAGTCCGTATCCAGAGAGCCATGTGTTCCCTGCCTTTTGTCTAATCCAGAGCTTGGAGAAGATTCGTTTTGTGTGTGTGTGGGGGGGGGATTGCAACACTCAGCATTTCCCATGGAGCCTAGGCACAAACCAGGTTGGCTGGAGGTAAACAGATGGGTTGGTTCTCTGAGTCGTCCAGAAAAGTAAGTTTTCCAAGCATCCCTCTAAACCATGAAAAAACCTAAAATCTGTTAGCCTTTCCTGATAGGGAGGCATGAAAACAAAACTCAACTTCTGCAGAAGGGCTCTTCCTTTTCAACCTGAATTCCAACTGGAGCAGCTCGCATGGAGGAAAAAAGAGCTGGATTTATTATGGCAACATTGGATAGAAAAAGACGTCCTGTTACGAAGACCAGGAAGGCAGGCCCTGGGCAATGGTGAAGAAAGAGCTTGCTTCTCATCCCTGGCAGTCATCTGCACCGTTGCCACTTTCAGTTCCTCCTCAGAGATCGTTCTTGGTGGTACATCTCGACGGATGTCCTTGAGTTAAGGCAAGGCACGATGAGTCATTCTGGTTGCAAAGACCAGCCAGTTTTTTTGTTTAGAGGGTGGAAAATAGAAAGACGTCTATGAGGAATGTCTGCATTTTGTCTGAAAAAAATTAAAGTAAAAGGGTCTGGTCACAGCCACCAGTCATTCACATGGTTTTGTGTTTCTTTTTTGGTTTGTCGCCTGCCTTGTCCCAGAAGTTTGAGGTGGACAACAAAAAGAAAAAGATCCCAGTGGAAAACAATAAAACACCATGGCATCACATGTTCTTTTCTAAACTTAACCCTCAGCTGGAAGAGCTAGCTGGGTCATGAAACACTTTAAAAATTTGCTCCAGCGAAGGCTTCCAGGGTGAAGGAGTTTCAGAACCAGAGTGACCGCAGATGATGACTCTCTCTTTTGCCCTTGACCTCAGAACCAGGCATGTAGACATTGGATCCAATTCCCACCCACAGGAAAGACACAGGAAGAATTTGAATTCTCTTTCCCACCTCCAGAGTCTATCATCTTCATTTGTTCGGATTGTTTTCTCTGCCCGTGCATTTTTATCTGCATTGAATGTTTGCATAGAGCAATAGATAATGCTGTTTAAAAGGACTACAGATACTGTCAGCTGTTAGTGATACATTTTGAAGCACGGGTGCTCAGCATGACCTCCCTCATAGCCAGGGCAATCAAAATCCAAAAATACTGATTGTTGTTTGAGACCTTGTCAACTAAGCATGTAAATACTTGCTTATCTCATCCTAGTACACGAGAATGAGGAACAGCGAATGATTCTCCTCACTCCTACCCAAAGGGTGAGATATTTTGTGAAACTCCCCAGCAAGAACAGAGAACTATGTTTTTCTGTAGATTGATTAAAATGGTGCAAGTAACCCTTTCACACAAATTGCATGAAGTGGTGATGGGTGCTGCTTTGTTGCATAAGATTTAAAAACTGGAATGCATCTTTTAAAATAACCAGACAGTCATTGTGTGCTTTCTGTGAGCATGTTTTACTGCTCGAAGGGAAAAGTCACTAGTTTTGTGCAGGGAGAAAATTTGCACTGATTACAGAAACATTCACTAGAAAAAAAATAGCAATCTTTGCCTCGCTTTCTTCTGGAAGTGAGAAATGTCATGAGGAATGAAAATTTCTTAATGAGGTGCATCCTCAAGTTGAGGCAGGCTATATCATGAAAATAAAGAATGTAGCAAATATTCTGTATGTTCCCAATATCAAGAAACCTAGCCATTTTCCTTTCCATTATCAGTAGTTTTCTGTAAAGCTAATACAGTGGGGTCTCGACTTACGAACGGCTCGACATACGGACGTTTCAACTTACGAACCGCTCTCATAGGAATATATGGACTCGACTTATGAAATTAGATTCGAGTTACGAACTCTTTTTTTCCCTTTTTTTAAAAGCTAAGTCATCTTAGGTTAAAAGGAAAAAAGAAAAAAAGTATCCCCCTCTAGTGGCAGAAGGCGGAATAGCATCTTCCCATTAGTTTCTATGGATGAAAAGAGCAGATACGGATTAAATGGTTTTCAATGCATTCCTATGGGAAATGCAGATTCGACGTAAGAACTTTTCGACCTGAGAACTGCCTTCCAATACGGATTAAGTTCGTAAGTCGAGACCCCACTGTAAGCCTTAATTGTGCACCAATCCAGATCAAGAAACCTAGCCATTTTCCTTTCCATCATCAGTAGTTTTCTGTAAAGCTAATAAGCCTTAATTGTGCACCAAGCCAAGCCAAAATATTTCACAAAATATGTTGTGAGCTATGCTCCCAGCAACTGTGACCATTGCAGCTAAATTCAGAAGGAACAGAGAAACCTGGGGTGGGGTTGGGGAGAGAATAACAGATCACGTCATCATCTCTGCTGGAAAAGCTACATTTTTGGACCAGAATTTGCAGAATCCCCCAGGCCAGCATAGGTGTGGTCCCTGTTGATTAACAAGAGATGCTTCTACTGCACAAGCAGAGCCTCCATGGCACCTTTCATGCCCCAAAAGGTCAAGATCCTTCCTTGCTTTTAAAGCTTCTGCTATTTATCAGTTTTCATGTTGGCATTTCTTGAACTTTTTGGAATTTGTGGGGGTTTTTTTACTTCTTAACCAAAGATTTAAAAAAACAAAAAATGTAAGATGTTATTGTATGTCATCTTGACCGTCCCATAGCTAGAATGGTGGCTGAAAAAAAAGGTTATAATAATAATCATATGCCATTAAGTCAATTCTGACTTAAGGCAATCCATAAAGACAGAAGAATACCCCGAAGTGGTTGACCCTTCTCTTCTTCTGGGGGTGCCCTGATGTGGGTGATCACGGAGCAAAGGAAGGCTAATTGCCTTAGAGAGGGAACAAAGGAGTCGACAGTGGATGTCCGAGCCAGCGGAGTCTACAGGCAACGCCCTGAAAGCGCTTTTATTTACTTAGCATGATTACATAGTATGTTGTTAGAATTCAGATAGGATACTAGTTACCTAATCACAACTAGGATTGGCTGAAATAACTCTTTGATCTTATGCTCTGCCTCTAAGTGAAAGGGCAGAAGAAGGGGTTACTCCATCTGCTGGCAGCTGCCGCTTCCTGCCAGGATTGTATGCACATCACTGGAACAGAATGCAGCTACAAGCTTTAAGCAGAAGTTTCCCACACCCTGGGACTGTGCAATGTGCCCAAGGCCACACGGACTGGCTCTTTTCCCAGGGGACACAGTGAGGCATCAAACTCCCAACCTCTGGCTCCATAGCCAGATACACAAACCACTGAGTTATCCGCAAATAAGAAAACATAAGTGTTGGTCTCCGAATGATTTTGCCTCGTAGCACTTGGTTTTAGATTGTCTTCTTTGTGAATTCTGTATCATAAGTTATGCTTTCCAAGAGCTCCTTGTACGGTGCGTCTGACAAGTCATTTGAGAATATCTGCAGTTTATCAAACCTTGTGGGAGGTCATGCTTAACATTTGCATATTTCACAGTGCCACCCTTTGGCATTTTACCTTGCTTCCCTTTGGCCCAGCCATGTGAAAGGGACAGAACTGTGTAAATGCCTGATGCACGGCCAACCTATTGTTGTTTCCAAAGTGGGAGTCTCTTTTTGGTTTTTTTCTGAAGCGGTTTGCTTCAACAGTAACTGCTTGTATATCCGAAATTCCTGGAGATGTGGGCAGCAGTGTTATACCCAGTGAGATCGTTTGAATACTGTTGATCTCTGGGACATTTAAGCTCTGGAATAGGCAGGCATGAAGCTTGCAGGCTGTTGTTGTTTTTTAACTAGTGCCCTGAGATATCTGAATCAAAGCCGGGTACAACATAATGGTGCAGGTGGCAGACGTATCCTAAGGCTAAAGGGGCAAAGTGTCTCTGGCAGATTGTGGAAACCATTTTTGGTTGGTTGGTTTCATTGTGTTTAGAGTACAATGTCAAGGGCAAACTAAATGTTACAGATTTAATCCGTAGTTAGACCTCAAATCACATTGGCCTAAATTCACAGTAGAACCACTGTCAGTGACTTAATGGTAAGCAAATATGTAAAAAAGAACAGTCAAAAACATATCTCCCCCTCTTCCTCCTCCCCGTGTAGGCATCTATGATGGCATCTATACAGAGGGACTAGCTGAAAGTCATCCAGTGGGTTTCACGGCTCAGTAAAGGCTTCAATCCTAAAGCAACACAAGGTGCAAAGTCACATCTGCACAGCACTTTTGTACATAGCGTAGTCTTTGTGATGATGCTATATTTTTAAAACAATTGCCTCATACAACTGAGGAAATGCCCTTTCTTGTAGATAGCTGGAAAGCAGGAGGATTTCCTGAAACGGGGACTCATTCATAAAAAAGGTCAGGCTAGATTTTCCACATTTCATTTTTTGCACACCCACATTTCTGCCCTTTTAACACTGGGGCAGACGTCGGAGCAAAGAGCTGTTGTGCCAATTGAAGCAAGTGCGAAATTGGTTTGTTAGACGTGGAATTCGGAAGGGTAACTCTTTGGGACAACTAAGGCCAAGTATACCCTTCCCGATGGCCACGCTGCCTGAGGGACGCTGGGAGCTCTCACCCGAAAAGGAAACCACTTTCTCAAACAATGAACAGTTTCCTGTTCAAAAAACCCCAACTACCTTTTGGCACTTTTGAATAAGTTGTTTTTAGGAACTGTGATGGGTGGGTCAGGAACAGGGAGATGCTTTTCCTTTTTTGATCTGTCATGTCAAAGGAATTTGATGCTACATTCTTGCCGAAACTCAGGAAACCCTGTGTATAACCATACAGTTATTTGCTTTCTAAGTTCACATCCATGTGTTTCCTTAATATTCGTTTTTCCACTGCTCACTCTGCAAATGGATATATATTTCTGCTCTGATTTTACTGGGTGCAACTCGTAACATTCTATGAAAAAGGCTCAGTAAACTGAGTACCCAGCTCAATTTGGGGGGGGGGAGCAATGTGTAGCCTGCATAATTAAATTCTAAAACACAGTGTGCTTTAAGTGCTATGGGGCAATATGTGAGCAGCATATTTTGCTTTACTTTTCCTTGGTCTCAGTCTGCCCTTCTAACCACTGTATTACAGTGACTTCCAAGGAAAGCCTATTTTTACATATTTATGAGACTTCTTCAAATCAGACTGGATTTTCAGCACTGTTTTTAAACGATTGTGTGGTTTGGTCAATTTGCTTGGACCAAGCAGCCTTTGGCACCTCTGTTTTGCTCCCTATGGGAAGACAAGAGGCAGAAAGATATTTACAACATTCTTAGAAATAGGAGATACCCAAAATAGAAACAGCTGGTTCTGATTATTCTCCAACATTTCCTTGCCAGCACATCTGGTTGTACCAAGGAATGTTTCTTCCTCTCTCTAGTGGGTATGATACTGTAGAATTCACAAATGCTATTAAAGCTGAGATACTAGAGAATTTGAGATGAGTTTAGGTCTGAGCTAAAACAGAGAAGGGGTTCAGGAAAGGGGGAAATTCTACGCTGTCTACTGCATTTTCCCTGTTTTGATGGTTATGTCTATGAAATGGAGCATAACACATTCTCCACGTTGAGCTTTGACTCTGATTTGCTTCTGTGATGACATATAATCAGATCAAATATGGAGCATAACACATTCTCCACGTTGAGCATGGGCAGGCAGAACTGCTTTTACTCTGATTTGCTTCTGTGATGACATATAATCAGATCAAATTGGCTACATGATGCTGTGACCTCATCTCACTGGCTGCATGTTTCCTTTTTGTTATCCAGAACAGCCTCTTTCCCAACCTTGTAAGGCGCCAGGTAGTGCAGTAAAAAACATACTGTACATAGTGCAAGGCAGAATTTATCCAGTATTAGTAGGAAAAACCCTTTGAAAACTTAATAGTTTTTATTTTGCATACGTTTTCATGGGCTGCAGAAACCCTTCATCAGACCCATAGAGTCTCCTTTGGCGGTCGTATAGACCAGATGGGCGGGATACAAATCAAATCAAATCAAATCAAATAAATAAATATTTGGCATACGTTTTCAAGGGCTGCAGAAACACTTCATCAGGCCCATAGAGTGTCATCTCCTTTGGCAAAAATTGCACACGTACAAGGCGAGGGGGCAGGTAGAAGGTACACTGATGACTAACTTATCAGTGTTTCAGGAATTACTGCCTTTCAATAAGCAGTTGCTGAGAGGTGACAAGCTGTTCCTAGCATAGATAATGAGATTCACTCATATATAAGTTTAATTGCTGGTGAACTCTTGTAGGGCTAGATAGTAGTAAGAAAAGCTGAAGGGAATAGAAATGCAAAAATTACAGGCTGTGAGACAAATAAACAAAGCAAACAATAACAAAACATTTTTAGTAATACAGAGATCCATGTATAGAATTGCTGATTAACACAGGTAGTGAGTTTAAATAACCTTTGTCTATAGTTAGGCCATAGGACATAAACTTGAACATTTCAATGAATTCTTGTTAAAATCCTTGGGTGGTTAGGTGTCCAGGAAATATTTTGAACCTTCTGTTTTGTTTTTTGTTTTTTGAACACATACGTTGCTCACTCATAAACGTTTGGATCAGCCCCAGTCTTCCTTTCATGAGACCCATTGTCTTTTATTCTGGAACCAAGGTTGGCAACGTTTGTTTAAAACAGCAGTTCCCAATTTTGGATAATCCAGGTGTTCTTGGACTACAGTTCCCAGAAGTCTTCAGCAGCAGCTGTGTTGCCTGAGGTTTCTGGGAATTATAGTCTCAGGATGCCTGGGTTACCCAAGGTTGGGAAACAACTGGTTTACAACAAAGACTATGTTTTGGCCTGAGCGGAGGTCGGTGGGATAGTGACCTAATCTGTGGCTTCTGATCCAAACAATGGCTGAGTGCTTGACAAACGTTTTATTGCAGAAATCTGCACAGCAAGACAAAAAGCAATTTCTTAGTCATTGGCCACAGTGACATGCAGAGCTTGAAACATTTGTTCTTTGGACTATAGGAGCATCTGGAATCCCACAACCAACACGATCGCCGGTGATTCTGGGAGCTGTAATGTTTTTAAAAGAGGGACTTCTTTAAGCTCTTTTTATCACTGATCACAGTGCAAGAGTTCCCTTTTAAACCTGTCACCTCTCCTATGGGAAATTAAGCCGAGTTGTGAACTGATATACCATTCAATACGTTGGAACGACTGGCTTAATTATCTTTGCTTAATTATGTCTTTTTCATTGTAGGTGAAGAATCTCACTGCCCCAGATAATGCTTCCGCGATGACGTTTAATATCTCCACCCCACCCCATCTGTATCGTATTCAGAATCTAAGGGCTATGAAGAATTACAGCATACGAGTTTCTTGTATGAATGAAGTGGGTTGGTCTGGCTTCAGCCCTTGGTTTATGGCCAATACAACAGAAGGAGGTAAGAAAACACCAACAAAAGTACAGGGTCATACTATTGAATATAGCAACCCCATGAATGAGGTGTTTTAGATATACTGTATGTAACACAGAGATGGGACGTGGTGGCGCTGTGGGCTAAACCGCAGAAGCCTGTGCTGCAGGGTCAGAAGACCAGCAGTCGTAAGATCGAATCCACGCGATGGAGTGAGCTCCCGTCACTTTACCTTTTAACACAGTGATCCTCTAAAACAGTGGTTCCCAATCTTGGATCCCCAGATGTTCTTGGACTAAAACTCCCAAAAGCTTTCACCACTAACTGTTCTGGCCAGGATTTCTGGGAGTTGTAGTCCAAGAACATCTGGGGACCTAAGGTTGGGAGCCACTGCTCTGAGAAAATCAGAATAGGCATAGAGATGTTTCTTGCTATTTTTCTCTGGACAACAAGCCTATAAATGAGAGTATGCTGAAACTGCACATCATGTAAGATTAATGGTTTTGTCAAGGGATGAATATTTGCCTACTGTATCATTCAAGCAATGTATGTAGACCTTTCGGGGGGGGCGAAACTGAAAATTGTGGAGAACAATAAAAAGGATATGAATCTTGTTCCTCAGAATCTTGTGGTCTGCTTGCTTTTCTTTTCTTCAAATAATATACACTTCCTCTCCACCCAAGTTTGCATTACATACTTCCTATAGTTAAATGGAAAATGTGGAAGCTGAATAGAGCCAATCCACTGTTGTTCATAACACTGCAGGCTTTTTGATGTGCAGAATATGGACCCTTGGAGAGACCGGCTGTCTCAAAATGGTGAAAAGCTGGCTTGAGAATTCTACAGCCCCCTTGAGAGAGCTTGCCATCAGTGCCCTATTGAGACAGCAAATAATTTGTTTGCTTTCTGCAATTTGTGTAAAAGGTATTTTGCACAAAATTCCTGCCTCTGTGTGCAAAACTAATGTCTTTTTACCTTTCTAACTGAAACTAAATAAATGCTTGAGACACAAAAGCACCGGCTGATTGATCACAAAAACACAAATAACATCCAGTGATGATATTGTTACTGGTCCATGCAAGAAAGCTATAGTTATTATATTTTTCTATTTTGCAGACTTGTTTGCAAAACACACACACACACAAAAGATTTTAAAATGCACAAAGTCAGTCAATGGGGAAAAAACTATCTTGTGGTGAGATTCTTTATTATTATTATCATTTCATTCTCTAAGCAAAGATGAATCAAATCAATATTGATGTGCCTGAAGGGGGAGCATAAAGATTTGTCCATTTTGTATCTAAGATGTGCCTCGTTTCTTTTTTAGTTTGTTATATTGCTTTTTAAAAAGCTGTATATTCACCATGTACATTGAAAAAAATATTAGTTTGTTGGTTTTGTATGTGCTTTGTTTAAGCTCCCTCTGTTCCTCCTGGGAATGTCACACTCTCCATCAATGAGTCAAGTTCTTCTGTGACCATCACCTGGATTAAGCCTCCTGATGCACAGATGAATGGTGAACTTCAAGGCTACAGCATCTTGTACATGTGGCAGACTTCAGAAGTGTCTGTAAGTAGTGAATCTTAAACAGGCAAAGCAAAAATGCTTTGACATTAAAAAAATGGCTGCTTCTGTATCTCTAATTATTGCAAGTGTCATTTGTAATCTGAAAAAAATCTGTTGCTTAGCATAGTAAGTCACACTTGAGTAGAATCATTGATTCAGTGGAGGTATGGTAAGTCAGCTCCTCTGTAAGTTTAATTGATTCAAAGGGACCTGATCTAGTGGCAGCTTACTTTAGTGCAGTGAGTTACAACTAGAGTAGGCCCATTTGAATCAATGGAACTTGACTGGTGACTCACCAAACCCCATTGATTCAATAGTCCTACGCTAGTGCAACTTAACTACACTAAGCAACAGGATTTCAGCCACTGGGTGTTTTCCTAGATAACAATATGTGCTGAGAATACACAGCTCCTAGAGGTAGTGGAAAAAAATCCATCAGTTACCATCAGTAACCTTTAGCAGCGAATTGGTACAAGTTCAGAAATTTGCATAGCCATTTTCTGTTGCACACCAATCTCATGCATCAGTTGCAGTACTCTGACTAAAGAGCGGCAATTTACCACTGAAGTTACACCAGAGCTATTGCACCAAGAGCATTCTGGATAGTATTGATTTATCTAGCCCAATATTGTCTACTTTGACTGGCCGGAATTCTTCAGAATTATGTTCTCCACCAACCAGTTCCAGATATTTCACTGCACTTAGCAGATTGAAACTACAGCCCTGTTTATGCTTATCTGGGGGGAAAATCTTACTGAACATAATAGAAATTGCTTCCGAGTAGACAGACCTCCCTGGGAACATTCTGTGAGATTCTTATATCTGCTACAGCCCAGATTCTGCATTCACTCAGTGCCTTTAGTCTCACAATGCAAAGGGAAATGGTGCCTGAAATCTTCAGCTGGTTCATTTGTGAAGCCCCTTTGGTGTGTGCTTTTGTGACTGAGCTTTTCAGAACATAATATAAATCCAGTCAAATTTCTAGATCTTGGTAAGCTGGCAGTCTTATTTAGAACAAGATTCTCTTACCCCCTTCTGGCCTCTGAGCCTGCAGCTGGTTGAGAACAACATTTGTCATTGTAAGAAATGCACTGTGAATCAGGAACCTGACACAGTATGACCACTACCACACACACACACTGTGTTTTGTAATAAGTGTGAAACAAGCATCATAGGGAACAGAACAGAAAAGAAAAGAAAAGAAGCTGACTCTCGTGATAGACTCATGCTCCTAAACAAATCATATTTTCTCACTTCTTTAGATTGCCTTTACAGTATTCTTGCCACCTAGCAAATGTTGGATTTGCTTATATTATAAACTGACTTTTTTTAGTTCAAAGAGTGAACTGTAGAAAATAAATTGGAGTGCCCATAACACGATTTTAGGCTTGTCTTCTCAGAAGTAAATACCATGGAATGTGCTGATTCTTAATCCCAGATAAAAAGGTACAGTATGGAGTTGCAGCTTAAACCTGTTGAAACATTTCCTGCAGAAAAAAAGGCTGTTCATGTTTGCTGCCTTTCAGACTTCAGTTTTCTGTTCCTCTTTTAGAAGAATTTTTTTTAAGAATTTAGAAATCCTCTGGCCCAAAACACACTGAAATCAGCAAAGCAGTCTTCTGACCTTATGTGGAGATGCTAACTCATCAAGTTACGCTGCAGACAACAGACTAAAGGTCACTTCCTGAGCCTCAAAAGGAGGGCATAAATCTTGGTATCTGGCTTTCCCAGTAACACATGGGATGCTGGAACATTTATATCTCAACAGATGGTGTGTTAGATGTGTCTGTTCAATTCTAAGACGGGCATGGCCAAAGCCATTTCATTGCCTGTGAAGAAGGGTGCTTCCTACCCATCATTTCAGCTACAGAAGCCAACCCAACGGGCTGTTGAATACAGGGCAGAAACTGAGCCATGGAGGATGTGCTGCTCACTATTCTGGAAGCACTTGAAGACTCCCGAATACTAGCTGCCAGTATGATTCCAGTCCAGATTCAAGGTGATGGAGATGACATTGGCCTGGGGCTTTTGAAGGAGCACCTCTCCCTGTGTCTACTTGCCCTAAGCGTCAGGAACTGGTGGGCAGGCTAGTGTGCCACTGGTGGGAGTAGTAAATCGTACAGAGATGGAGGAAAGGGTCTACTCTACTGAAGTATCCAGTTATGGAATGTCATCCTCCTAGAGGCCTAGTTAGGCACCAAGTCAAAACCTTGCTGTTTATTAAAACTTTTGCCAACTTGGGATCATGTCTTGAATAGGTTTTAGAGTTTGTATATACTATGCCTAGTTTACCCAGTGTGGTATAGTGGATAAAATTATGACTTGCTACACTAACCAGTAGGATTTCGGTCTCTTCCCCCTTGCATACATAGGCTTGCAAGTCAAGTCTGTTTAAGCACAAATCTGTGAACCCCTTCTGAGTCAGTGGTTGTAGAAAGTGGGTATACAGACAGGTTTGACTGGGCTTGATAGCCTACCACTGCTATCATCCTGCCTTACTTTACATCATTTGAACACACTGATTGATCATAAATATTCCCTTCCCCTCTTTATTCTCACAACCACCCTATGAGGTAGGTCAGACTGGGAAAGGTGACACAAGCAAGTATCACAAGCAAGTCACCATGTGAACCCAGGCCTCCTGGATGCTGGTCCATCACTACACCATTCAACTAATCCAATGGTTCCCAACCTTGGGTAATCCAGGTTTTCTTGCACTGCAAATCCCAGGAGCCTTCATCACCAGCTGTGCTTGTAAGGGTTTCTGGGAATTGTAGTCCAAGAACACCTGGGTTACTCAAGGTTGGGAACCACTGAGAAAATCCATTCTTTCTTACAGCTCAGTTATTTAGCATGACTAATATTGTTTTTCTTCATTTGATGTGTATCTCTCAGCCTTCCTCACAAAAGCTTGAGGAATCTGAGGAACTACCTGAAAAATATAATTAAAAAGCTAAAACTGCAGCATACAAACATTTTAAAAATACAATACAATGAGTGGGGTGGTGAGGGGGTGCCCGAAGATTAAGGACATGCTCATATCCTGAAAGCTTAAACAAACAAATATATTTTAGCTGACACATAAGGAATAACAGCTAAACCCTTCTTCCTTTTTGAAGTTTATATGTATGCGTCGAGGAAGAAAATCAGCTGGCAGAGTGAACGGCTTTATAATTGTGACTCCAAGGACTTAGTTCCTGTTTGTGCCAAATTGTTGTCCTTCGTTAGTCAGTCTGAGCTCTATCACTGGAGCACATTGCCCTGCTAAGCCACTCTAAACATCACATGCCAACCTGCCAGCTGCACTGTGAGTCACAGAAGAAATTTCTGCAGTGAGGTTTTGTTCCTTCCCCCCCCTCGGGGCATTTCACTAGGAAGCAGTACCTACCATTCTTCCAGCTATTCATCTGACTCATCCCGTGTCCAGGAAATAACAGGGAATTTATGGGAAAAGGAATATCTTGTTTCTAATCAGGCATTTTAGCACTATCGGATGGAACGCGTGTCTAGCCGGGATGACGGCTGTGTCGATCAGGCTTGTTAAAATAATTTGTATTGCCTGTTTGATGGTGTTTTAACTGTGTGGGGGAGAAAATCCCTAGATATCCATTTCATCACTGAAGCAATTGTAATTACAAGGACGGTGTTTAACAGGGAAAAAGACACACCCTGAATATCTCCTAGGTTCCTGTGGATAAAATTTTTGATCACCAATATGATTTTTAAAGACTGGCAATTTTCAGATCATTAATAAATGTTCAAGAATATTTTAATGCCCCAGTTATTTGGATAGTTACTCAGAAGTCCCACCTTACCCTAATAATACAACTATATTGTACTTGGCCTATATCAGCTATTCACAGGCAAGCATTTTTGAAGTGATAGCAGACGGTCTTGGGACTCAGATGTTCTCCAGTTTGCCCAACACTTCACTTTTTGTTGTGTGTGTTCTCTGTTCCTTAAAATAACTGGACTCCCATTCCCCTCCCTCACACCCTTTAGAGTTGCATTTCCTCATGCTGGGAATAGCCAAGATTGGAGAGTTACTTTTAAGAAGAAGGAGTGTATGGTGATGTACTGAAACCATCCAGAAGTGAGCAATAGTAGGATGATGTTCTGCGACCTAGAACTGGTACATTATGGATGGTTTTACCATGTCCTTATATATATTTTTCCTTCCAAAAAAATCACTTACCATGATCTGTCCCAGAATAATGTTCCCTGCCAATTAGGGATCACATAGTCAACATATGAAGAGGAATACAGATTTGGAACAATTACTGTCTGCTTGTATAGTCAGAGAAGGGGGGGGAGGGTAAGAGAAGGATGAGCATAACAGAAGACCTGAATGTTGCAAACTGTTCATATTCATATTCAGGACACCACTGCTTGATTTTTTTGGCTTTGCTTCCTGTAGGAGGGCTGACTTGTAATGAGTACTGTAGGTCTGATAGTCCACAGCTGGAAGACCTGAATGTTGCAAACTGTTCATATCTTCTTCTTCAGGACACCCCTGCTTGATTTTTTTGGCCTTACTTCTTTTAGGAGGGCTGACTTGTAATGGGTAGGTCTGATAGTCCACAGCTAGAAGCTTGTACAATCTGGTAAAATATGCATTTGAGTTCTGACTCCTGCCATTAAGAAGGTTTAAAAAGAAATATTTATGAACTCCTCCATTGTTCATATTGGGTACTTGAAATACTGCAGGGATGGTTATTCTCCCTAAGAGTCAGCTGTTCTCTTGGCTTTAATGTCTGTCTGTTGCTGTAGCAAAGTGAGCATGAAATGTAGTCTGGGTGGGGGTCAATCTCTGATTTCCAGCTCATTACCTAATGGCCTGATTGGGAAAAATAGTTTCACGCTAATTCTTTTGCATTTCCAAAACATTTTTTTTCCTTGCAGCAGAATCACTCTTCCCAGACTGGCAAACACAGCACTGCGTTCCATGTTCCAATTATGGCTACTAATGCTACATGCACAGTCCAAGTGGCTGCCGTCACAAATGGTGGAGTCGGGTCATTCAGTGATCCAGTAAGAATTTTTATTCCAGGAAATGGTAAGTCAGAAGAGGGTAATGATATGTGTTAGGTGTGTGAGTCTGTCTATCTTATCTGTTTATGAGTTACATTTATAGCCCATGTTTCCTCTAGTAAGCCAAAGGTACCAGCCTCTCCCCTCTTCACTGCAACTTTACATCATAGGTCAAGGTGAAAGAAACATCACTCATTTCTTTCCTAGCTCAGTGAAACTAGAGTGTGGATCTCCCAAGGCCCAGTCCATTCACAGAAGTTTGAAGGTCCATCCAGTCCAACTACTGTCCAAAACCAAAGGAGAATGGGACTATGTCTTAGCAAGAGAGCCCCCTTTTTACATATAAAATTGACCTCAATCCAATTGCTAATACCCACTAGTGTAGAACAATTGACTCAGTTGCTGAATGGTAAATCAGGTAAAGGTAAAGATTCCCCTTGACAATTTTTGTCCAGTCGTGTTCGACTCTAGGGGGGGGGTGCTCATCCCCGTTTCCAAGCCATAGAGCCAGCGTTTTGTCTGAAGACAATCTTCCGTGGTCACATGGCCAGTGCGACTTAGACACGGAACGCTGTTACCTTCCCACCGAGGTGGTCCCTATTTATCTACTTGCATTTGCATGCTTTCGAACCGCTAGGTTGGCGGGAGCTGGGACAAGCGACGGGCACTCACTCCGTCGCGTGGATTCGATCTTACGACAGCTGGTCTTCTGATCCTGCAGCACAGGCTTCTGCGGTTTAGCCCGCAGCGCCACCATGTCCCTTGAATGGTAGATCAACCCCTACGTAAATCCCGTTGAATATGTCAATTGTATTGGGTCTAATTTACTTGGGATGAAATTAAGAATCATAGAATATTTGAGTTGGAAGGAGACTAAAAGGCCATCGAGTCCAAACTTCTCCTCAAGGTAAGAATCCAACTCAAAGCAGATCTGACAGATGGTTCTCCAATTTTCTTTTGAATGCTTCTTGCATTGGACTGCTCTAGGTTCAATCCTTTGGTATATATTTTGGTTTGAGACCCTCAGGACTCCTGAGGTCTTACAGGAGAGCCATTTCCAGTGAGGGTTAGAGGGTGATATGTCAAGGTTTTAATGTAAAGGCACGTGGTGCAGCCACCATACTGAAGCTACATAGGTCTGCTTGGATTGGTGTCTCAGATGGAAGCTATCTGTGAAGCTCTTCTATATTGCCTTGATTTTCATATATGAAGGATAGGAATATGTTCCACATATGCTGGAAAGGGGATTTGGAAAGGTAGGCATGATAGGTGGAGGGTTGGTTGGATGTCCTTTTCTTCAAGCTATCAGTCCTTCTGAAGAATACTGTGAATCTGTTGAAAAACTTTGCTTGGTTCAAAGATCAAATTGCAATAAATTAGATTATTCATGAGCTGAACAAGGAGTTGGATAAGCACTCTTCAGCACTGGTTGCTAAGTTATGCAACAGGATTTTGGCCACAAACTCTCTCACATAGACCTATGTATACATAAATTCGCTTTCTTCTATACTAATGCTCACTAACGTATGAAACCCACTTCCTTGCTCCTAAAAATTGGGTGTGCAACCAGTTGTGTGACTGAGACACCAGGAGGGGGAAATTTTCATTGTTGTTACCCTTATATTCATGTTTTTCTCCAGTTGGATTTTGGCTAGATTAAGTCAGCTATAGATGGGCTTTCTCAACCTGATGAGTTTAAATCAGGGTGTTCGACTATGATGTAAGTTTGTTTTGCTTCTTGAAATGGATTCTGGTAGAATTCCTTCTAACACGAAAGAGAGAAGATGATCTAAATTTATCAGAATTTGTAATTTGCCATGTGTCAGTTCTCACCTTAAAAAAATCACGTCAATCTGTCCATCAGGTTCATGGCACAAGCTGCCAAAGTATGTTAAAACTGTAGTCTTTTTTCCCCTGTAACTTGTCTCATTGTCTTAGGTTTGGTATCTGCTGCCTCATCTGGAACTTCAGAATCTGGACTTACGGATGTATCTGTAATCATCCTTGGGTTTATATTTGGAGTTGCTGTCATTATCATAATCATGTGTGTGTTCGTGATTGTCAGGAGAAGATTGAAAGAGGAGACCAAGTTTGGGTGAGTAACAAAGGAAAACCAAATACTGTATTTTCTAGTGTTAGCTGTGCATTTATCAGCCATTGATTTCCTAAGTGGCAAGTGTGTTCACTCATCAACCAGTCTGCGAGAGAACAGGATGATCATAGAGCCAGTGATGCCTCTTCTGAGCGAAGCAGACCCCTAACTAGCCATGATGGGACCCAGGGCAAGTGGCACCCTCCCCACCCACTCTGCCCTAAGGTGTGGGCCTGAACCGCCACCAAGAAAAATGAGAAAGTGAATTTGTGCCTTCTAAAAGGATGAAGAATTTTTTTTTGCCTCCCCAACACCCAAAAAGAAAAAAAAAAAAAGATCATGAATAGCAACCCTCCCCACCCACTCTGCCCTAAGGTGTAGGCCTGAATCGCCACCAAGAAAAAGGAGAAAGTGAATTTGTGCCTCCTAAAAGGATGAAGAAATTTTTTTGCCTCCCCACCACCAAAAAAGAAAAAAAAGATCGTGAATAGCATTGGGAGGTGGTGCTTACTTTCCTAATATTCATCCATAGGTTTGCCCGGAGAGTTTGATCCCTTCTAAACCTGGATAGCTCCATGGTTTAGGGATCTGGCCGCAGGGTCAGAGGTTGGGAGTTTGATTCCCTACTGTAACCTCCTGTGGGAAGTGTCAGCCTGTGTGACTTTGGGCAAGCTGCACAGTCCCAGGGTACCCCCCCCCCCGGAAGAAGAGAATGGTAAACCACTTCTGAGTATTTTCTACCTGGAAGACCCTGTAACAGTTGCCATGTCAAAATTGACTTGACAGCACATGATCATTATTATTATGAAATGTTGGCACCCTGGGGCAGAGCAACAGTGGGTCTGCCCCAGGGTCCCAACGTTTCATAATAATGTTACAGCCCTGACTGCCAGCTAGTCACCAGGTCCAATTCAAGATGCTAGCATTAGTGCATAAAACCCTGTGAATGATAGAGTGATTGATAGGAATGGTAATGGAGAGGAAATTCTTGTAATCAGCAGATTTGAATAACAGAGATTCTGCTGTGTGAACTTTTTATGATTTAATGATTCATCTGAGCATGTGAATGTAATCAGCTTTTCAACTGCTTAATGCCTTAGCTGTTTATGTTAATTTTTACTACAACATACACTCAGTCTTCTCTTCCTCCACATCCCTTTGTCTTTCATCCCTGTCAGTGCCTCAGGTTGGTTAATAGCGGCCTTCATCCTGCTGTAGCTGCCAACTTGCAGTCCAGAAACTCATGTTTTTTATCTTTAACACTCTCTCTCTCTCTCTCTCTCTCTCTCTCTCTCTCTCTCTCTCTCTCTCTCTCTCTCTCTCTTACTTTTTGGACTACAAATCCCAGGGGGAAAAGTAATTTTTCCAAGCTCCTAGAGCCATAAGAGACAAGAGAGAGAGTTCTGCACTTAAAACAAAACAAAACAGAACTCCCTGTTATGTCTCTTCCGGCCCTAATGATGAAAAGTTGGAGACATGAAAAGTTGGAGATTGCTATGCTTTTGTTTAGTGATTGGCCACTAGGAGGAAACAAATGAGGGCCAGCCCTGTCATTAGGCAGAGTGAGGCAGCTACCTCAAGCAACATGTCTGGTGCATCAGAAAAGGGCAATGAGTGTGTACAGCATTGTGTTTCACTCAGGGTGGAGTATTTCCAAAGTTTACCCAAGAAGGGAACCAGTAATTCTCTGACCAATTGTAATCAATTGTAAACCCAATGAAATCAACGAGTGTAAGCTTCAGAGTGCTCTGTAGCAAGAGACTGTGGGAGATCCAGAGAATCCTCAGTGGGGACCAGGAAACTGTTCCTTTATTGCCAGGGATGCAGAGTTGCTCTGTTTCATGTGCCAAAGAAGCTTGGCCAGCTTTGGGCATTATGTACTGTGACTTGAGTGAATGGGGGCAGGGTGCCATTTGCGGCTCTGCCTTAGGCAGCAAAATATCCTGGGACAGCCTCGGAAGCAAAGAAGGACTCCCTAAGCATATTAATTGTGCAACCACAGTGGGCTGTAAAGAACGGCTCTCTGTAGTGATATGTGTTCCAACCACCTTTTTCATTTTTCCAAATGTCATGCCTGTCTCATCTATTTTGATCTTAGGCCTGTTGATTACAATATAGAAGGATGGGGGAAGAATAGGAAGGCCATAATAAGCGGACCAAGAAACTGTTTTTTGCCTTATCGCCTGCTTTAGATAACTTTCTTGCAACCTGACAGCTTTGCCTCTCTGCATTTTTCCTTTTGCACCATAGAAACAATATCCAAGAACCATGAGGGATACGGGAGTTCTCATGTGTTGAAAATTGTGCATCTTAAAACTTAAAGGTCAGGGTGAAATGCTTTACTCTATAATTGACAAAATCCCAGTGAAGCGACTGGCTTCTTTGCACATATTTTAAACTTACTAGAGTAAGTTCTGTTTGTATCTGACCATCATCTAGATTTAAAAGAAAATTTCAGTGAAGGTCCTTGGTGATTTCCAGGGAGGTGTGTGCTATCTTGCATTAACTTTTTTGAAGAAGGCGCTAAATGTTATTGAGTGGTATTGATTTTATTACTGTTTTTAATGCAATACCTGTTTAATTCTTTTTAAATATTTGTATACCTACTGTTTTTAGCCTCTACATATTGTCTTTTTAATGGTGTGAGCTGCCTTGAGTTCTTTTCAAGGAGATGGGCAGGATAAAAATATTTTAAATAAATAAACAAATTATAACATATTATAAAACTGGAAGTGATTCTATCAACAGGAATCAGATATAGCTAATCTAGTACCTTTATTATGGCATAGGCCAAAATGCAGTTAAATTCTGAAATACCGTACACAGATTTAGGAAGAATAGAAGTACATATTCAATGGGACCAGAATACAGTGCCAAAAATATGGACAGTGAGAATTATGCTAAAGCTCTGATGGAGGTCAAATAAAAAAATGTAGTTGTTGTTGCTTAGTCGTTAAGTCATGTCCGACGCTACATGACCCCATGGACCAGAGCACGCCAGGCCCTCCGGTCTTCCACTGCCTCCCGGAGTCTCCCTCTGCAACTTACAACAATGTAGATAAACATTCGGGTGCCGGTGGGCTCATGCAGAACCATCTCCTAGAGACCTAGAACAGTTCTGCTCTGCAGCCATTGAGTCCTGTTTACAACACCACCCACTTTCATTCATTAGCCTTTTCGAACATGGGAGGTGTCCACTTTTTGCTTCTGTGAAGATTGTTTTGTATCATCAACAATGGCCCACTGTAGTCTCAGTTCACAAAACTCCTTCCCTTGTGACCTGGCAGGATGAAGTTCTAAACGGATCAGCGTCTTTTTTCAAAACCCCTTTTGAAATCACCAGCTGTTCTGAGTATACTAATTTTTTTTCATAACGCACTTCTGGGAATTCAATGCTGCTGAAAACTTAAGGCAAAAATCTCCTTTGTTTCTTCACACTTATGCAACAGTTTCTGGGAGTCCCCTCCCTCTGTTGGAACCCTACAGACTGCAAGGTTCCACGACAGTTCTTTATCTTTTAGGAGCATGTGTTCCTAGAAACACATGGGGTTGACATCCAGAATTGCATCAACTTTGCAATGAAAGTTTTGTTTCCATGCTTCTCCTCTAAAGTCTCCCTCCAAATCTACTTTAGAGCAGAGGTCCTGCCCCAGTGATGTATATGTATCACCAGTAGGACACAGAGGTACTCTTAAGTGGAACGCTGGGTTTTCATAACAATTATTAATCCCTCTTTCCTTGTGCAAATATGATGTGCCATCTCCTACCAAGTCTATTTGCCATGGATTATCCAGCTGCAAACTTTTGACATGACAGCAGTAACTTCGGGCACTTATTGTTCCTTCTGCCCACCACCTTACCATGAACAACAGATATAATAAGAGAAGGCTGGGAAAAGTATGTTTGCACTGGCTGGATAGCTTAGTGAGTGGGATACCTGGCTACAGAGCCAAAGGTCAGACGTTGAGTCCCCCAATCTGCCTTCCAGGAGAAGAGCCAGCCTGTGCAACCTTGGAGCAAACTGCACAGTCTCCAGTGCGCTGCCAGAAGAATGGAGAGGTGAACCATCTCTCAGCACACTGTACTTGGGGGACCCGGCCAAGGCTCACCATAGGTTAGACTAGACTTGATGGCATGTCATTACTCTTGTTGTAGTAAACATAGACAATGCTTCTTGGATAAAGTGAAATATGTGTTCCTGTCATGGTGGGTTTCAGATTCTTTGACAGTGTGATGGGTGGGACATGACATACGAAAGATTGAAAATCACTACTTGAGTGGGTTCCCCCACCCTTTGTTGTATGTGGGGACGCAGGGAAGAGGGGGAACTGCCTCCTCACCATTCTTCTCCTAGAAATCATCCTATCAGTGGAAAGCATTAATTAGACACTTCCATTGGGATACTGTCTATACATCAGACATGTTTGGTCTAGTCTAGTAACTAATGTTGTATCATATTGTCCCTGACATCTGTGCAGCGCTTCTATATTCTATATTTTTTTTATCTGCTGTTGCATTCAGGAAAGTCACTTCTGAATTATGGCATTCATATGAATTACAAAAAGTCCTATCATTAAGAGTTCTGTTGAGGTCCTTTAGAATTTGGATCAAGAGCCATAGCTTCTTTTGCTGAGTCAGTTCATCTCATATTGGGTCTTCCCAAGGTCCTTTAGAATTTGGATCAAGAGCCATGGCGTCTTTTGCTGAGTCAGTTCATCTCATATTAGATCTTCCCATTTTCCTACTACCTCCAACTTTTCCTAGCATTATTTCTTTTTTAATGAGCGTTGCGTTGTCATAATACATCCAAGGTACAATATCCTCAGTTTAATCATTTTTGCTTCTAGAGATTATTCTTAAAACGGTGCTCCAGTACAACATTTCCAATGAATCAATTTGTTTCTTGTCAGCTTTCATCATAGTCCAGCTTTCAGGTCTTTACATAGTAATTAGGAGTACCGCTTTCGACAGCAGCAACACAACTTTAAACTGAAGGGTCTTTTCTAGTTCCTTAACTGTTGCCCTTCCACTGTGTGTGCAGTTGGCATGGATATTCATCTCAGTTTTGTCATCTTCTTCTGTGTTTGGACTGATGATTAAACCAGAGTATTGAATATCTTTAATAATTTCTTCATTGTCAAGATGAAACTTGTGTAATCCTTCTGTACTTATTGTGCTTGTCTTCTTAGTGTTCAGCTATAATCTTGCTTTTGTACTTTCTTCTTTAACCTCCCTCAGTAGTCATCAGTAGTCATTTCTTTCAAGGCTATCTTTATTATGTGGTGGACGATTCAAAGCAGCATTGTCAGCCCCGATCCTATGAAGTCTCAACATTTGTAGATTGAGAGTTCTCATGTAAAAGGAACCTGTTCTAAATGTGTGTTACTCATTTCTGAATATGTTCTACATGCTGTGTGGTTTAGTGACTTGTGTTGCATGGATTTAAATTCTAAAAATGGGTTTACAGTATTTTGGTGCTTGATGGTTTGCCAGAAAAATCTCCTAGGCCTTATGATTCACAGTTTAAGTGAACCTCACTGGCATGTGAAGAGAGAAGCCATGCTTGCTTAGCTGGTTTGTTTCTTTTATGCATTTGCAGAGTGCATTCCGCAAGAGAAATTATCTGGGTAGTTTCCAAGACTGAAAAAAATGAAAGCCATAAAATACCAAAAGAGAAAGTTAAAATGAAATCAAAAGCAGACTAAAGTCTGTAACTCAGAATAACAAGCTGCACCTAGCAAAATTCCTTTTTCTACGTATCTACTCAAAGTGCAGAAACCTAAAGTCCACAGTGAGATGGGTCATGGTTACAGGTGGGGATCCTATGACTAAACCAGGCAAACCTACGTTTACTAAACATGAACTCTCTAGATTGGCAGCAAAACAGGAAATAAAGTGCTAGCTTTTTATCTCAAAGGAATACATAGCAGAGGCAATGGCAAAACCCTCCTCCACTGCTCAAAGGTCTTTTTTTAAAAAAATCTTTTTATTAGGTAGTTCCAAGTGACATTCATTGTTCTCTTCCCCCCTTTTGTTTGCACAAGAACCCTGTGAAGAGGGTCATGCAGAGAGAGGGACTGACTCGTTCAGAGTCACCCAGCAACCTCTCTGGCTTACTGGGAATGATGAGCTGGATCTCCCAAGTTTCAGTCCAGCCCTTTAATGTCTACACCACAGTGGCTTTTCTCACCTGCCTGCTCTCTTTGGTGATCAGAGCTGAGATGGAAACATATTTTTTAATGCAGCAAAACACAGAACCCTGAGAAGACAGGGAACAGGCAGGAATAATCCAGTTCCATTGCAGATATTGGTTCGTATCAAAGGTTAACTCACACATCAGTATCTCTCCTGCTTCATAGCTGAGTGAGCAAAAATGTTGCATCAACACACACAAGTGTGATTTGGCCCTTCACTACTGCATTTGGAAACATATTTTTTAATGCAGCAAAACACAGAACCCTGAGAAGACAGGGAACAGGCAGGAATAATCCAGTTCCATTGCAGATATTGGTTCGTATCAAAGGTTAACTCACACATCAGTATCTCTCCTGCTTCATAGCTGAGTGAGCAAAAATGTTGCATCAACACACACAAGTGTGATTTGGCCCTTAGCTACTGCATTTTTTGTTGTTGTTGTGAGCTGTCCAGTCACTTCAAACTTAATGGCAACCTCTAAAAGGTCTTACCAAGAAGAACCCTGCTCGCATAAGACTATAGATTTCTTTTTTGGGTCAGTTCATCTCAGATTTGGTCTTCTTTTCCTGTTGTCTGCAGCTTTTCCCAACATTATTGTCTTGTCATGAAGTGATACCCATGGGATAAATCTCAGTTTGGTCATGTTTGCATCTAGAGGGGAGTGTTTTGATCTAGCACCCACTTATTTGTTTTTCTGGCAGCCCATGGTGTGTAATAGGCACACATATTGATATTTAAAGATAACCTTATCACACAATCTTTTTTTTAACCTAAGATGACCTAAGGTTAAAAAAAGAGCAGGAAAGGTTTTTTTTCCTGTTCTTATCTAGGATTTCTGTTCTCAAGTAGAAGCAAAATTTAGCAAACGGAGCTGTTCTTAAGTAGAATTGTTCTTAAGTAGGGACGTTCTTAAGTAGAGACCCCACTGTAGAGGGGAGTGATTTGATCTAGCACCCACTTATTTGTTTTTCTGGCAGCCCATGGTGTGTAATAGGCACACATATTGATATTTAAAGATAACCTTATCACACAATCATTACGGAATCTAAATGGTGTTATTCCATGCTGCTCAGGCTTTGAGCCCCATCAGATCAGAGCATGGCTTTTAAAAGTCCTTAGGTCACAACTGTTATCCTGAGCTCAGATGTTATGAAATGTGGGTGTTTTATGTTCCGTTCTTTGGATCAACATGTTTTTTAAAATACCAGAGAAAACAGGGAAGCTGAACTTTTGAGATTACTGGGCACATGTAAATGCCCAGAATGTTAATCTCAGCTCAGCTTTAGTGGAAGCACTCTTAGGACTAATAATAGCACAAGAGCTGGGGTCGGTGGCTGGGGGAGGTAACTCTCCCCTACTTCTGCACTTTTAAAAAATCCCTTCCATAGCAGCTCCTCACATTTTTAAAAAGAGAAAAGTAATTACTTTCACATTAAACGTTGCCTCCTGCAATTAAGAAGCCCTTGGTTTCTCTTTGGAATGCTGGAACTGCAAGCCCGGTATGGAAGTGAAAGTTCTTACATTTAGCACTGTTGTTACCGAAGACTATTTAAAAGAACAGGAAATCAATGATTAGTCTTGTTTCTCCCAAAATATTTGAGTGACTCAGCTATCTTTTTGTACTAAGTTTAGTTTACTGAAGTTGTCGAGATAAACTAAAGGAAACTACTGTATCACATAATGTACTCAGAGTGAAAAAAATATGAAATAAATGGAATTTCCTTTTCTTCTATATTGTTTTTATTCTTTGTGAGCCAAACACCTGACCATGACAATTCTAATTTCCTTTCCTTCCCCCCCCCCAGCTGTGGCCCCTGTGCTTTCCAAATAATTCAATTCGACCAGAATAATGTTATAGTAGCATAAAGATCCTCTATTTTTCTGTTCCCTTTAGGTATGCTTTCACTAGTGATGAGTCAGAGCTGGCTGTAAATTACAAACCAAAGAAGTCCTACTGCCGGAGACCTGTTGACCTGACACGTACGTTTTAGATTTGTCACTACAGCTGCTCTGTATTTTGGTTTACTTTCGCAACACCTGGAAAACAATGCTGCTGGGATGACCATAGGATTATACACAGGGTGAAACGGAACAGTAATTCTGGTAAAGAATCAGAAGAAATGCTTGCAGTTAAAGAAGAAAAGGGAAGGAAGGAATTAAGATGCGATCATTATTCACTTAATTTCCTGGCCTTTAACTCAGGCTGTGCTGTGCTGACCATTTTTAGAAGTGAGGAGTGAGTTGTGCGACTGTTACAACATGGGAATCAGTGCATATCAGCCAGCTGATAGAACCAGCAATTGATTTGATCGCCTGCCACCAGTTAATGTAAGACATACTCGGTAAGATGTGTGTACAGTAGACTATAAAGGCATATTCAGGCAGGAAAGAGTTCATCTGAGTAGGGAAAGCTTTCTGGTCTCCTCATGATCCTTTCCTGATCTGTGCAACACACTCAGTATAAATGGAGGGACCTAAAAATCAATGTTCCTGATCTCACAGAAAGACATTATGTGCAGCAGATGGTCTCCTCTTCGTATTAGGCAAAAACAAAAGAATTTATTTTTTAATTAAGAAGATGAAAATGTTTAAAGACTAACTTCTATATTTTAACGACATTATGTGCAGCAGATGGTCTCCTCTTTGTATTAGGCAAAAACAAAAGAATTAATTTTTTTAATTAAGAAGATGAAAACGTTTAAAGACTAACTTCTATATTTTAACAGGAGCTTTTGTGGACAAGTCCACTTCCTCAGACTCCTTGCTGCCCCCTTTAGACACGCTTTCAGTCATGATGAGTCAGAAACTGGCGTTTTCATATTGTGCTCCGTCTCTTAGAAGTTGCAATGCAAGGAGAGTCTTGCAATAAACCTCAACAATTACATGCTCAGATCAACTTTTTTCTGAGCACCTGAGCAAAGCTTTGGTCTTCTTTAAGGCATCCGAATGGCAGAAGAACAAAAAATTGACCTGATAATCCAGCGCTGATCTGTATGTGCTCTGTCAGAAGCCAACGCTAAGAAATCAGGATCAGGAGGCAGGCCAGGAGCCAATAAAAATTGTAATAGCTCAGAAAAAGCCTTGAGCCCCAATGAAGCCTGTATTGCCTTTCCTGATATGGAAAATCAATAGAAAAACTAAGCAAATGAAGTCAGTCCAGTAGTCAGGAAACCTTTACTGAAGGAGAGGGCAAGGTGAGGCCCGCTGTGACATGTAGTTTCATATGTGCCCCCACACCTCTGTGTGGCCTCCATAACATAAGTCCCATGTCCCAGCCATTCATTTCCCCTTTTTTTGGTAGGGAAGAGATCTTTTCAGCCTAAAAACATCCCTTTCGATGTTTATGGATGTTCCCCTTGATGCTGTAGCTCAGTGGGTTGAAGTGCCTGGCTACAGAGCCTAGGAAATTCAAATCCCAATTGTGCCTCCTAGGGAAGGAACCATGTTTATGGATGTTCCCCTTGATGCTGTACTGAGTGGGTTGGAGTGCCTGGCTACAGAGCCAAGATTACACAGAATGTGTGTGGCAGATGGAATTAAGTGCCCTGCTACTCATGTGGCCTTGGGCAAGCGGGACAGTCCGAAAGGTCTACTAGAAGGAGGGATTAGGAGATAATTTCTGAGTATTGTATACCTAGAAAATCCTTGAAAGGTTGTCATGAGTCAGAATCAATGTGACAACACAAAATTATAAATCAGATGCCTCGTTTGGAAGGAATGGTTTGCCAGTTTTGGAAGATTTTTTTTTCTGGAGTCAAGGGGTGCAGCCCTCCAAGGTCCAGGAGACAGCAAAAAAAATGACCTCAGGTCATCAGAAATTGTTCACCTCTACCTTCCTCCCTGGAGAAATACTTCAAGTTTTAAAACCTCTGGGATCTGTACTGTTCTGTAGGTTTCCCCTTCTAGAATGGCCAACTCATGAAGGAAAGACAGGAGTCCCTCGATAGGACGTAGGAGAGGATTGAACTTGTTCAAAGTACAATGCAGACGCCAACTTGCTGTGTCCGTCTTTTTACCTCATGCCAATGAATCTCTTACAGTTGGCAGTCTTGGTGTGAGTGAAGAGCTCCAGGAGAAGCTTCAGGATGTTGTGATTGTGAGGAACAACCTGGCACTCGGGAAGATCTTGGGAGAGGGTAAGTAGAGCCACAAAACTTGGTTGGATCATCACATGCCTCACGAAGCCTCTCAGCCCCTTCTTTGGGAGGCCATGGTGTTGTCCACCTCAACACCAGAAAGCATCACTGAATGTTGAAAGGAGTAGTGGGCAAGTTCTGAGAGTTCAAAAGCCGTCCTTGGCCTCCTGTGGACCTTCCTGGGCTTCACTCTCTCTGAGCCCTCCTCACCAACCCAGAACCATGAGGAAAAAAAGTATTCCCCCAAAGAGCAGAGGGTTGTAGGTAACAAAGGGTGGCCGACAGAACACAGTGGGTTGGACAACATGACGGTGGAGCCAAAGACCAACCATTTCAATCTCCAGTGTATCTCCTTGGGAAATGGACCAGCTGACATCACTTGGATTATGCACTGTGAAGTGCCCTGTAACCTGTGTCAGAATTGATGTTGATGGCATATAATCATTATAAAGCAAACGGCATCGATAGATGTACTTTGTTCTCTAAATATAATATTGTTCCCTTCCCCATTCTCTCCTCTGNTCCAGATGTTTTTGGACTACAATTCCCAGAAGCCTTCACCACCAGCTCTGCTGGCTAGGATTTCTGGGAGTTGAAGTACAAGAACATCTGAAGGCCCAAGGTTGGGGACCACTGCTATAGGGTATGTACTTTGCTCTCTAAATATAATGTTGTTCCCTTCCCCATTCTCTCTTTGTGCTAGAAAATCTCTCTCTCTCTCTCTCTCTCTCCCCCTCCCTTCCTCTCCCTCTCTCCCTCTCTCTCTCTTCCAACTTCTGGTTAGAAGAATTGCTTTAAGAGCCACAGAGTGTCCTGCAGCCTTAAGTGAAATTAGAAAATTGATGGACATGCATTAAATGCTTATATGGTTGTTTTTCCTTGACTGCTCATCTGGCAGTATTGGTCATCTGTCCAATATTTGGTACTTTAAAATAAAGCTATTTTATTTTATTTGAAACACACAGCCACACACAATTTACTGTTCAAGCAATCACTGCATGGGAGAAGGATAGATGACCCTGTGATATTAAGTACTGTTCTAGTTTTGCCCCTCTGGCTATTTCGAAATTCTGTGAGGCTAAAAAAGTCTTCCAAAAAGCTTAATGCCAGAGTCTCTTCAAAGCTGCTAAGCAAATGTTGTGGTGGAATTTTAGGAGGAGAGACAAATTCAGATTTTTCGTCTTTCTTTCAGGAGAGTTTGGATCAGTCATGGAAGGACATCTCAGCAATCCCGATGGAACTACACAGAAAGTAGCTGTGAAAACAATGAAATGTAAGTATCTGTATTGTTGCAGTTTTGAATTGCTTGTAAAATTCCTTTTTGTTACATAGCAGAAGTCCAGAGACTCACAGAGTTCCCCAGAAACATCCCCCCCTTTTTTTTTCCTCATTACCTGGTACTTAAAGTCTCAATAATTCACTCTGAGAAATTTATAGGAGAAAGAATTTTTTAAAAAATATTTACTTACAGTTGCTTGAAATTACAGACTTGTGCATGCTGCTTTCTTTATTACATATATATTCAGCAACCAACTGAACAGATCAACAGAAAATGAGCAACTGCCACCAACTGAAGAAAGAGAGGAAAAGAAAAGAACACTTAGTGGAGAGACAGGGCTCTCTTTGAATCACTCCAGAAAAATCCTCCTAGTAGAACAAATCACAGGGACCATGTGGGGTTGCAAATAAAACTCCAACAGACAGCTCTAGACTTGTTTCTTTTTAAGACGTGAAGGCCTGTGTTCTATTCCTGGTGAGAGTAGACCCATTGAATCAATTGCTAAATGTCAAGTCAATACTTACCGAAATCCCATTGTGTCATTGAGTCTCCTCTAGTTTGGATTAGAATACTGGCCAAATTATATGCAAGCTTCCAGGTTCGGCTTCTGTCTTGGGCATTGGGCATTACATTATATCATGTCTGTGCTACAATAGTCTCTGTTGCATTGTGTTGTGTCTACAGTGTGTCATGTCTACACTGTCCCCACAGTCTTGTGTTAGAACCTAACTGGAAATATGAATTATTTTACGGTATGGAAAATATAATTATATAATGCAATAATTTCATAAAGGAATTATTACATTTTGTAGAATCCATCCAAGCCTGTAGGTTCAAAGTTCAAGCTTCAGTTTTAAGAAAAATTGACCAAAGTAACAGTTTTGCTATAGAGAGAAAAGATGGCTTAAATACAGACTTCTCTAAGTTGTTGTTGTCTAGATGTAGTGGGCTGTGATTCCAGTCGCCCCAAGCCAAACATGGTGAATGGCTTTGTTTACGGAGGATAGTGGGAGTGAATTGTACCAATTAGACCTGGAGAACCTGCTTTGAATATTAAGCCAAAACATCTCGCTTCTTTTCCCAAAATGTTGCTAATGGAACAGCTTTTGATGTACTACATGCTCACTCACTCACCTCTGTATAAACCTTTTTTTGGGGGGGACTGCTGCTCCTAATTCTATCAAAATATCTGATTTCCTTAGATCTCTAAAGAACAGGGACAGCCTGTTCTTTACAAAATTGTTGAAGACATATTTTTTTCCTTTGTACAGATAAGGAAACAGAGGCAAACTCTCTCTTTTAACGTAATAGATCCTTCTGCCTTCCATTTCTTTATCTGAGCGTTAAAATGTCTTTCTTATTTTTAAAAAAGAAGATACATCAAATATTAATATTAAGAGACTCTTTTTTTACTGTATTTTCAGTGGACAGCTTTTCCCAGCGGGAAATTGAAGAGTTCCTTAGGGAAGCTGCATGTATGAAAGACTTTGATCACCCAAATGTCATCAAACTTCTTGGTAAGTCAATCAGCAAGTAACAATTATTCATGTGGGACCTGCTTCCTCTTAGCCTGCATTGGGACTTTTTCCAACTCGTAAACTGATGCTTACTAATTTTTGGTTATGAAGCATATTCATCTGGGCCATTCAAGACTTTTTTTAAAATTGCCCTGCCAGTTTTCATATACATTTCCGTATACTTACAGGTATACGCAGTTGCCCCATTTTGTCACCGGTCCTTTTTGGTGCTCACTTCTTACCCCCCAGGTCTGAGACTTGAGTTTGCAATATAGAAACAAGTTTGGAACACCAGCAGGTGACCATTTAAAGATTAAGCAACCCTTCCTTCCCAAAACATATATCAATGAACACACTGATGGACTAAACTCAGAGGTCAAGGGAATTCCACCTGGATTAGATCATATTTCTGTTTCCCATAGTGGTCAGCCGTGTATCTCTGGGAATCTCCTCAGCAGGATCAAAAACACAGTAGCATCTTCCTGCTTACAATTAAGAGCCATTGATAGATCTGCAAATACAGTATGCAGTTGCCCCATTTTGTCACCGGTCCTTTTTGGTGCTCACTTCTTACCCCCCAGGTCTGAGACTTGAGTTTGCAATATAGAAACAAGTTTGGAACACCAGCAGGTGACCATTTAAAGATTAAGCAACCCTTCCTTCCCAAAACATATATCAATGAACACACTGATGGACTAAACTCAGAGGTCAAGGGAATTCCACCTGGATTAGATCATATTTCTGTTTCCCATAGTGGTCAACCGTCTATCTCTGGGAATCTCCTGAGCAGGACCAAAAACACAGTAGCATCTTCCTGCTTACGATTAAGAGCCATTGATAGATCTGCAAATATATCTCATTAGCTTGTAAAAGGATTATTGTCGCTATGCGGGGCACCACTGTATATCTCATTAGCTTGTAAAGCTGTTCCCAGTGATGACAATCATTACATCAACTGGAAGCAAATTCCATAACTTTCAGTATGCACTAGGAGTCTATTATTTCTTGAAAGCATGGAGGTTGGGTGAAGCGCCAGATGACTGAAGGAGGGTTAGCATTGTCCTTGTCTTCAAATATGGCAACGCTATGCGGGGCACCACTGTATATCTCATTAGCTTGTAAAGCTGTTCCCAGTGATGACAATCATTACATCAACTGGAAGCAAATTCCATAACTTTCAGTATGCACTAGGAGTCTATTATTTCTTGAAAGCATGGAGGTTGGGTGAAGCGCCAGATGACTGAAGGAGGGTTAGCATTGTCCTTGTCTTCAAATATGGCAAAAAGGAGGAACATGGGAACTACAGAGCAGTCAACCTGACATCAATCCCAGGGAAAATTCTGGAGCAGATTATAAAGCAGTCACTCTGCAAGCACGTTGAAAACAATGCAGTACTAGAAGCCAACACAGTTTTATCCAAAAAAAATATCCTGCCTGACTAACCTTTTATCATTTTTTGATTGACTAACGTGTCTGGTAGACAATAGGAGTGATATAGATGTAATATATCTTGACTTCATCAAAGCTTTTGGCAAAGTGTCACATGATATTCAGATTAGCAAGCTAACTAGTTGTGGGCTGGATAGAACAACTGTCAGGTGGATGCACAGTTGATTACAGAGTCATATTCAGAGAGTGATTGTCAATAGCTCTTTCTCACACTAGGAGGAGATAACAAACAGGGTAGCACAAGACTCACTCCAGGGCCCAATGCTCTTCAGTGTTTTTATTAATGACTTGTATGTGGGGGGATGCAGGAACAGTTATTAGATTTGTGGATGACACAAAATTGAGTGGAATAGCTAATACTCTGGAAGATAGAAACAAAATTTGAAAACATCTTAATGGATTTGAGCACTGGGCTGAAAAAAACAGAATGAAATTTAAAACAGATAAGTGCAAGTTCTACTCCCAGTGGGTAAAAAACCCTAGGATTTGTCCTTGATCACCCCTGAGTGTGGGACACATAATATTGGCCTCAAGTTACAGGAAGCAGATTGTGGTTGAATGTCAGGAAAAACTTCATAACTGTTAGAGCAGTACGACAATAGAACCAATTACCTTGAGAGGTGGTGAGTGCTCCAATGCTGGGGGCATTCAAGAGAAAATTAGATAACCATCCATCAGATCTGCTTTGATTTGGATTTCTGCATTGAGCAGGGGGTTGGATTTGATGACCTTATAGGCCCCTTCCAATTCCATTATGCTGTGATTCTATGAAGGAGTTCCTTTTTGTCTCGGAAGCTCTTAGAGGGAAGACTAGATGGACTTTTGATCTCAATTGGCAGGACTCGTATGACAACATGTTTTCTTAGTATGAGTGTGTCCTGGTGTGGGCATAATGTCTCGTGCTGTGATCATTATGTTGAATGCCTGCAACACCAACTCATTCATTTCCAAAAAGCTTTATTGAATTTAACAGCTAAACCAATGGATTTCTTTTTGTCATGTCCAGGTGTATGTATAGAGCCAAGTTCTCAGCAGGTTCCCAAGCCCATGGTGATCCTTCCATTCATGAAATATGGAGATTTGCATAGCTTCCTTCTTCGCTCAAGGCTTGGAATGGGCCCACAGGTAATCAAGAGAGATTGTCCTGCTATGTAGAATGAAAGGCTGGGAATTGCTTTGCTGTTCTGAAATACTATTTCAGCTGGAAGTTATTGACGGGATGGCAGCAAGGATACTGAAGAATTCAGAAACCAAGTTATTACATGAAAGGTTGAATAAGTTGGGTACATTTAGTCTGAAGTAGATACAATTAAGAAGCAACATAATATCTATCTCAACAGAGCCATAACTGCAAAATTATACTTATGAGGCGAGAATAGGAAATCACATACACAAGTCACTTTATATAACCCCCCTCTTCATTATTGTGGAGTTTTGAATTCTTGGTTAAATTTCTCTAGCTGCACAGGAAAAGTGCAGGGACTCACCAGGCAGAATAGCCTCAAGTTACCTCTGGGTAGTTTGGGCGGCATATAAATTGAATGAATAAATAAATAAATAAATAAGTTCCCCAGATTAGTCCACCCCTTTTTCTCTCATCAACCGTCACTTATAGTCTCAGTAACTCACTCTGAGACATCAGTAGCAGAAAGTAATGTGTTCATTACTTATAACTGAACAGATCAAACAAACAAATATGATTGCTTTCAGCAACAATCTTCAAAAGACTCGCTGCTTCCAGTTGACAGAAGAGAAGGGAAAAGGCACAGAGCAGAGAGGCAGGGCTTTCTCTGAATTCTGAGGCAAGAGGGAATCATTGGTTGGTGCTAGATAGATTGACAGTCACCCTATCCCAGAAGAGTCCCTCCCTGTCAAACCTACTAAAAGCAACATGTGAGGTTGCTCCAACATTCACGACTTTCCAAAAAGTGTGAAGAGCAGCCAGCGTGGAAGTACAGATGTAATATCTCATGAAGTTTGAAATCTGCAACACTTGCTTCGTTTTGAATTTTTAAGTGTTATTCAGTCCCTTCCTACATGGGTAAACTCACCATATCTAGAAAGGAGTATCTAGTCTCCTTCCCTCTCTGTCAGCGCTAGGCATGGGATTTTCTTTCATTATACTGTAGCTCCCAGGATTTCCAGGAAACTGTAGCCAAAAAAATCCAAGTCCTCAGAAGATTTCAGAGCATGCACTTGTGCCTCACCAAGTCTGTTTCTGAAGAAACGCCTATTAGTCAGAAAAAGAGGGAAATTTGTAGAAGTGGTTAAGATTCACGGGAGCTGCAAGGGATTAAGGGACCCAGTTGTCCCTCTACACATTAAGATCTCTATGTATGTACGCACTTACGTATTTATTTAATTTATATACCACCCCGTTTGTGCACACACTACTAATCTGTGCAGGTTGCCTCAGTTTTATATTAAAAGGATTTTCATTACATGTTAATAAGAACTTACTAGCAACGCAGATTGTTCAACAAGAGAGCTTATTATCTCAGAGAGTAGTGGACAATTTGGCCAAATTTTAATTTATTTTAATTATACCTTTTCCCAACTCTGGTTGAGGCCAAATCCAAGACCTAGAAGCATACTGTATAACTACTTACTGTTTGCCCTCCAACATAGGAGATAAGCTGATTCAAGAATGTTCATGTACCTCTTAAAGTGAGGCAGGGTGTCTGTCTGTCTGTCTGTCTGTCTGTCTGTCTGTCTGTCTGTCAGGAAGGAAGGAAGGAAGGAAGGAAGGAAGGAAGGAAGGAAGGAATGAACGAATGAAGGAATGAAGGAATGAAGGAGCTGAGGTTGAAGGAAGGAGCTCATGATGAAGGGGAAAGGGGAAAGGGGAAAGGAAAGAAGGAAGAGATAAAGTAGTAGTGATCTGGAATTATGAACAAATGGGAGCATATGCCTAGCAGAGTGTGATGATAAGTTATTAAGTCATAGACTGTCAGTCCATTCTTTTGTGCTTTTGCCAAATTGCCATCACTTGACCTTCTATTGTTATTGAGTTGTGTCGGCCGTTTAGGGCTTTATATGTCAAAACAATGTGAGTTGTGTCACATTGACAGTGGACAATAAAGGCCACTGTCCATCAGCCCGATAGGCTAGATAAAAAATGAACCTAGAATGTGCTCAAAAAGCACATTGGATGTAAACATCTGATTGTGGGAAGTGTGACAGCTTTCTGGACCTATTTTCTATAATTCCACAGACTGTGATCTTTCTCCTCATGTCATACATGGATACTGTCAGTCTTGTGCTGGAACAGTAGAAACAGACTTTAATTGTTCTGGAAAGGACAGCCCCAGAAAAATGGCGTTCCTATTTTCTGTGGTTTTATTGTTTCCATTGGTTCTTCCCATGGAAGAGCATTATTAAACTAGGACAAGTCCACAAATTCCCTTTCAGTGACAAGGTAGTCATCCCATTTATTGATGAGCTTCTCTTTTGTAAAAGAAAGAAAGAAAGAAAGAAAGAAAGAAAGAAAGAAAGAAAGAAATTGAATGGTTTCACTTTATTTCCCATCTTTATTTTAATGAAGGAAAATTAAAAACAACAATAAGATCCTGCTGTAAACCAATGATTATTTTGTTGAACAGCTAGAAACAATGAAGCCATTCAGGGCTCAGCATATGCATCTCCTTGAGCTGCAAACAAGTGGAAAATTAAATGATGTCTTTGCATGTAATTGGGAGCCGTCAAAGACAGCCTTATTCTTTCAGCCCTTGTGTAAGGACGGAAAGGGAACAACATTTCTCCCACTACTAAAAACAAGCAAGATACATTCCTCGGATCATTCACCCAACAACAAGAGGCTGACTTGTTTTTCAGCATTTGGAAAATTTCTTTTTACCCTACGTGCACCAGGATGTTGTTTTTAAAATGTTTTAATTTGTGCTTTAAATGAATTGTGGGATGGTTTCTGATACCATGAGAATTCCAGTGTATTAAAAGTGAGGATTAGAGTGGGCACTGTGATTAGAATTAGGATTGTGATGAGAGTTTCATGTAATAATTATTTGTACTGTCAAATCAATTATGACTTTTCAGGGTTTTCTAGGTAGACAATACTCAGAAATAGTTGACCCTTCCCTTCTTCTGGTAATGCCCTGGGATTGGGCAGCTTGCCCGAAGTCACACAGGCTGGCTCTTCTAGGATGTACAGTGGGGAATTGAACTCCCAGTCTCTGGTTCCACAGCCTGATGTCTATCCCACTGAGCTTATTCAGCCAGCTAGAATTTCATGTACATTGGTGCCTCGCTTGACGATGTTAATTCGTTCCAGCGAAATCGCTGTAAAGCGAAAACGTCGTCAAACGAAATTAAAAAACCATTGAAATTCATTGAAAACCGTTCAATGTGTTCCAATGGGCTGAATACCTGCTCGTCCAGCGAAGATCCTCCATACGGTGGTCATTTTCGGTGCCTGTAAAGCGAGGAATCCGTCCTAGAAAACAGCGGGGGGCCATTTTCTTCAGCTGGTGGCCATTTTGAAACCCGGGGCAGGGAACCGATCATCGCACAGCAAAAAAAAAAAAACCATTTAAAACATCATTTTGAAAAACATCAACGTAAAGCGAATTCATCGTAGAGCAGGGTAATCGTCCAGCAGGGCACGACTGTACAGTTCTATATTTCTTGGCCCTAGTGAGAATTCCAGTGGGCACAGTGCATTGATAGACAAACCACATTGCATCTGCTTCGATGAATTGTGATTCAACAGGTAATGGCCGTATATTTTAGGTGCGCTTTCAACATTTATATCGGTAGATTTTGATCTTGAGTATTAGACTCTATTTTTGTGTGTTTTAAAGGTGTTTTTAACCGTTTTAATGAATTCTTTTAACACTGTCATGTTTCATTGAATTTAATGCCAGAATTTATTGTGATTTTAGTCAGTTTGTTTTTTAATAACTTGTGAATGACCTTAAAAGCTTTCATACAAAAGAAAAGTAGTATAATCCATGAAAGTAACTTTATTACTTTTTTATGTAGGGTAGACAAATGTATGGTTCCCTAAGGCTGTTTCTTCAGCCCACAGCTTTAAGTCCACTTAATGTGACCCGCATGTGTGAGCTTCATTATTTTTATGTGTTATTATTCACTGTGATCATTTATTTCCAATATGATAAATCGGATATATTTTTTCTCTCATTTCCCCCACCCCCAGTATGTACCACTGCAGAACTTACTGAAGTTTATGGTCCATATTGCGCTAGGAATGGAGTACCTCAGTAATAGACACTTCCTCCATAGAGATTTGGCTGCTCGAAACTGCATGTGAGTTTATGCCCTTTCTCCTTTTCTACTCAAAATAGAACAGCCCAGCTTCATTTTCAGAGGTTGTAATTGTAATGTAAAGGGAAATCAGATGTCTGCAGTCTTGCTCATAGTCTGCAACCAAGCAAACCCTCTTTTTTGCATTTCACCTTTAAAATGTTACTTGGAGGAGATGACAAACACATCCAGAATAATTACACTATTGTCATGCCAGGAGACCCCAGTCCAAATTATTAGTTTGGAGCACTTCAAAAGTCACTAACCGTGTATCCGAGCTACAAAATTAAAGGGTTCTTTTAACTTTGAAGGCTTTCTCTGCAATTGTGGTTTTCTTTAGAAGATCCTGCAAATTGGCTTTTAGAAATCGCGGATCTTTTCATATCTCTCTGTGTTCTAAAGGTTCTGTGTGGGAAACCCACACTGGGTTGAAAGCTATCTAATCCTGCCTGCGCTTTCCCCAGAAGCATCTATGCTGTGATTGATATATGTAAGACATAAGAAGAGGAGACCCATGCTGGGTAAAGAGTACACAGCATCCCATTCCCATCATGGCCAACAGGTACCTAAGGGAAGGCCATAAACAAAGCATCTTCCTCATGCGTCCTGGCAACTGATGTGCAGAGCATATGTCCTCTAACACAGCCAACATGACCAGTAAACATAGATAATAACCTTACATATTCCATGAATTTGTCTATTCTCCTTTGAAAATCTAGGTTGATGGCCATTAGAAGCACTTATTTTCCCATCTTTGTCTCTCTCCTCCCAAGTCTATTAACATTGTACATTAAATTCAATGTGCAGGCTACGGGACGACATGACTGTGTGTGTAGCGGACTTTGGTTTATCCAAGAAAATTTACAGCGGGGATTATTATCGGCAAGGGCGCATTGCGAAGATGCCAGTGAAATGGATTGCGATCGAAAGCCTCGCCGACAGAGTCTACACAACCAAAAGTGATGTGGTATGTAAACTAGGAGATGTTTCTCCCCTTTTAATGTTAGAAACAGACTCCAGAATGAAGACTAGTTAATGCAGGATTCGAAGAATATATATCCTAATTTGAAACATTTTGGTCTCTGTGTTCTCCACTCGGCAACCCAAGTTGAGAGTTACCTTGTGTGACGTTTGCCCCTTTGTGGCCCCTGTTTGTCTCTCCGAAACAGACAGCTCACGAAGGCAAACCAAGAAACACCTTTTCACACATTGCCACCAGTTGATTTCTTTATCAACATACTTAGGAAAGATGAAGGTCCATTCACTGTATTTTGAATAAAACAGGTTTATTGATTACAGATGTTTCTATAATAATTCATAAGTATCTTCTTCAGGTTCATCAAGCATCAATAACAATCTTCTATATTATCTTACTGGTTATTATTCACTCCTCAGCCTAATCACTCCTCAGATTCCCAAACTAACTCCCTCTCTCTCTCCCATCAGACTCAGACCCAGACTGTAAACTAAACTCCTCCTCTCTGGCTCCGCCTTTTAAAATCTCTAGTGGCCCCACCTCTCAACCACATCAGCATAAAACATGAATAATGCATGACTTATTTAACATAATAAGGGTGAACGCTACACCTTTCTTATGCAGAAGTGTGCTTGTGCAAATCCGGGGCTTCCCATGGCATGGCCAGCTGTGCAATCTGGGATAAGACCCAGAGATATAATGGACAGCCCAGAGAACAACTACTATCGTTTCTGCATTCGCCCTTAACATGCTTGCATAGGCAACAGGCTTCAGGCCACTATATTTATATTTAAGCTATTTAATTTCATAGTGCCCTGATTATTTAAAAGCAAACACACAAAGCTGCCTTAATTACTGTCAAGTAAGGTACAACTCTGCTTTCTGAAACTTCTGCTAAATACTAATTGCTGGTCTGCCCTTGGTTCTCTTAGTTATGGGGCAGGGCAACACCTGCTCTTTTACCATAGATAGGATGATCACAGTTCCTGCTTGATAGAGAACTGTTTTCTGTTTGAAGATACTCAGTTTCCAGACCTTGGAAGAAAAAAGTAATATTGGGAAGTAGTGATGTTACCTATAACACATTACTTTTGGAGAGACAAAATGATTTGCAAAATAATTGCCTAAATCCTATTGATGACTTACACTTATTTGTTTGTTTGTTTGTTTATACATACCCTGCCCATCTAGACCAAAGTCTACTCTGGGCAGCTAACAATACATAAAAGTAAAAGCAATTTAAAATAAAAACAACAGTATTGATATAAATCAAGACGGCAAAGGATAGATTAGGTGATAACAGGAGAGAAGGCCTGACTTTAAAAACCAGGTCTTAAGTTTGCTCTTAAAAACACCCAGCGAGGGAGCCAGACAGATTTCTGTGGGTAGACTGTTCCAGAGGTGAGGGGCCACTGCTGAGAAGGCCTAGTTTCTTGTTCTTTCTCTCCGGGCCTCCCTCAGTGTTAGGCCCCTCAACCGCCTATCTTGGCTAGAATGAGTGATACGGATAGATCTAAGTAGGAGGCGGCGTTCCGCTAGATATCGAGGTCCTAAACCATTTAGGGCTTTATATGTCATCATTAACACATTGAAACCAATGCAGAAATGAATATGCAGCCAATGCAAGGCAGCCAGAGTGGGGGAAATATGCTGACATTTTCTCACCCCAGTGAGAAGTCTGGCGGCTGCATTCTGCACCATTTGAAGCTTCCGCATCAATCTCAAAGGTAGCCTCACACAGAGCGCATTACAGTAGTTTAATCTTGAGATTACAAGCACATGGACCAGAGTGGTGAGCGCCCCAACATCAAGATAAGACAATCTGCCAGAGATGGAAATAGGCGGAGCAGACCACTGACGCTACCTGGGTTTCCATGGTGAGTGCCGGTTCCAGATAGACCCCCAAAAGAGAGGGAATTTTCCAAACCACCGATGTTGGGGCCACCCACCCTCAGGACTTCCATCTTGTCTGGGTTCAACCTCAGTCCATTCTCCTGCATTCATTGCAGTACAGCCTCCAGACAGCGCTGAAGGGATGGAACAGCATCCACTGTTGGGAAAAAAAAGATGTAGAGCTGGGTGTCATCAACATACTGATGACATGAAGCTCCACACCCCCTGATGACCCCACCCAGTGGCCTCATATAGATATTAAACCGCACTGGGAGATAATCGAGTTCTGCTGAACCACACAATTGAGACTCCACGGGGCTGATACACAATCCCCAAGCTGTACTCTCTGAGGATGGTTCTCCAAGAAGGATCGGAGCCAGACAAGCACCAGACCACCAATTCCCAACTTGGAGAGCCTCCCCAGGAAGATACTGTGGTCAACGGTATCGAACGTGGCTGAGATATCGAGGAGGAGCAACAGAAACGTTTTGCCCCTGTCGGCCTCCCTCAGGAGGTCATTAAAAAGAGTGACCAATGCCATTTCTGTGCCGTGGTACAGCCTGAAGCCCCACTGGAATGGATCCAGGGCATTAGTTTCATCCAAAAGGACCTGGAGCTGATCAGCCACCACCCTCTCTACCACTTTGCTCAGGAAGGAGACATTGGCGACGGGCCTATAGTTACATAAGGAAAATTGCTTAAGTGTTGGTGGCCACTCGCTGCTCCTTACTGAGATGCTGTTGCATTTTTATATGTGTGCCTTATTGTGCCATTTGGCACATGCTACGAACGCAGCCAGCGTTAATAAGTGATAATTTATTGCTAAGACTTATATGATGGCAAGTGTAATGATTACTAACTTTGTCACGTTGTGTGTGTGTGTGATGAAGAAAATTTATTCATTAGCTCGGTGACTCATTAACTAGCAGCCATTTGCCACTGCAGTTTATGTCATTGAACATACACTGGCATAACTAACAATAGGATTCTGGCTATTGCATGGGCAACTTCTAGGCAGATCTTTGTTCTCCTATAGTAATATCAAATGCTCCAGAAATGAAATAAAAGTGTGATATTTAACAAGGAAGTATGGCCCAATTCTCTGCATGCCAACCCAGACATAAACATGCACAAAGTGAAAGCCTTCCCCAATGCTTTATGCTCCAGCTCCATTTATCCCATGCTGGCTGAGGATGATGGGAGTGGTAATTGAATACATCTGTAGAAGCATACGTTGGGAAAGAGCATGTGCATGGGGAGTATGGCCTTGGGGGAAGTCTATTTCCCAGGTAATCAATTTAGCCTTTCTGCAATGTTATCTGAATATGTCTGTCTCTGTTATAGTGGGCCTTTGGTGTTACAATGTGGGAGATAGCAACCCGAGGGATGACTCCATATCCGGGAGTGCAGAACCACGAAATCTATGACTACCTTCTCGAGGGACACAGGTTAAAGCAGCCAGATGACTGTTTAGATGACTTGTAAGTATTCCGTATGTTATTCTGTATGTTATCTCACTGTAGATGTAGTAATTGGGTATTGATTCTACAGTCCTGGGAGTTGCCATCCAAAACTGCAAATATGTACACTACTGGTGTTAACGCAGAGCACTGTGGCCTGAGACAGTTGTTATGTCTGCAGTCTGCCAGCTTGGGAAATGGAAAGATATGAAGTCTGCTTTGCCCTTCTATCTTAGGTCCCTCTGTCCTTGACTTACTGCTTTGTAACATTTGGAGCAGTGGTTCCCAACCTTGGGTCCCCATATGTTCTTGGACTAAAACTCCCAGAAGCCTTCA